CCCTTTCCTGAAAAAAGAACATTTGATATACAAAAGTAGGAAAGACACACTCTTCATATAAAGTATAGTTCTTCAAGTGGAATAACAGAAAACCACCTTGCTTTCTCCGTGTATTTTTCGTTGGCATTCAGGAGTCAGTGCACAAGCACCTTTGAGGGAAGGCTGTGGGAAGCCAGATTCCCTTTGAGACACCCCTTGTTTTAACCCAGATTGCATTTGTGCACACTCATCAAAACAGACCTTATACCTGTTTTAGGGAGTAGTTTGTAAATACAAGTTTATTATCTTTTACACATAGAACTCCGGGTAATGGGGGTGGCTGGAGAGGTGGCTTAGTGCTTAAGAGCACTGGCTGTTCTTCCAGAGGGCCTGGGTTTACTTCCCAGCACCCACATAGTAGCCTACAATGGGCTAGAATGGTAGTCCCATGGGATCTAATGCCTTCTTCTGGTGTGCAGAGATACACACAGGCAAATCATCCATACACATAAATAAATAAATATATCTTAAAACAACAAGCACATACACGCAGAGAGACAGAGAAAGAGAGGGGGGAGGGAGGGAGGGAGAAGGAGAGAGGGGGAGGGAGAGAGAGGGGGAGGAGGGAGGGAGAGGGGGAGGGAGGGGGAGGGAGAGGAGGGGAGGAGGGAGGGGGAAGAAGGGAGGGATGGAGAGAGAGAGAGAGAGAGGGAGGGAGGGAGAGGGAGGGAGGGAGGGAGGGAGGGAGGGAGGGAGGGAGGGAGGGAGGGAGGGAGAGAGAATGAGTATGTTGAAGTAAGGGAACAAGCACCTTGCAGTATTCTCTCCTGACTATCCAGGGTATGCTCTGACTATACAATTTAGTATTTTTATTCTAAACTGATGCATTTTTTATTATACGTTTTGTTATAAGTACACTCTGAGTCTCCCTAATGAGCCTGAGTTTCTGAATGTAAGCACTGTGTTGTCCCTGGCTTTCTGTCTCCTATGTACAGAGCACACGGGCTCACATACATTCATGTTGGGTCACTACAGGGAAGACGTGCCTTGAGACTGTAACCGCATCCTTCCTTGTCAACTGAAATGTGTGATGTACAGTTTACAGAGCTTTCTCCTGCTTAACTAGATAAATGTGGAGATATCACTAATAGCCCATGAATTCACGTCTTAGACATGAAGGAAACAATCCAGAATACTAGATGAACAAATTATAAATGGATGAAGTTTTTACACCACTGTCTCAGCATCAGATATTACCCATTGCTTGTGGGAGATGGCCTGCTCTTGGGTCTGAAATGGGGGGCTCCAATGGGATATGAACACACTCTTTGGCACTTTCTTTTTCCTCCCCATCAGGTTCCCAGGTTCCCGAGAAGACACGTGGCCCCTCCCCTGAAAATGTCCAAACATTACTTAGAAAGCACTCGTGTTTTGTTTTATGGTATTAATAAGTTCAGATCACTTGTTATGTGCTAACCCAGGCAGAGAAAATTAGCTAAAGTTAGCATTGTTTTTTAGAAACACACAGATGACTGTAGATTTTCTCTGCAGTCTCAAAATGAGCAGAGGTTAGCAGACTTTTTTGTTTTTGTAAGATGGTTATCGTTATGTAGCCCAGGCTTCCTCCCAGAGCTCCCTCTGCCTCCAGAATGCTGGGATTAAAAACACTGTGGGAGGCTAGAATTTGAACCCATGCTGTCAAATTGCTTAGTTCTCTGAGCTTCTGCTGCTTCATTTAGATGAGGGGTAATATATATTCTCTACCCACCTGAGGAGTTCACAAAATAAGATTATACATGAAAACATTCTATGAAATAACACATGCAAGTGTGGTATATGGTTTCAACAATATATCACAATTTCCTACCTTGGGCTGGCAAGATGGTGCAGTGGATAAAGGCGCCTGATGTGCCATCCTGATGAGAAGGGTTTAATCCCGAGCCCGTGGTATAAAGAGAAAACTACTGTAGGGGTCCCCTACCTCCATAGACATGCATCTGTACCAATGCGTACAATGGGTAATAAAAGTAAAATCTGTCTGTCTCTGTCTTTCTCTGTGACTCTGTCTCTCTGTCTCTGTCTCTGTCTCTGTCTCTGTCTCTGTCTCTGTCTCTCTCTCTCTCTCTCTCTCTCTCTCTCTCTCTCTCTCTGTCTCTCTCTCTCTCACTAATCCCGAGCCTGTGGTGTAAAGAGAAAACTACTGTAGAGGTCCCTACCTCCATAGACATGCATCTGTACCAATGCGTACAATAGGTAATAAAAGTAAAATCTGTCTCTGTCTCTGTCTGTCTCTCTGGGACTGTCTCTCTCTCTCTCTCTCTCTCTCTCTCTCTCTCTCTCTCTCTCTCTCACACACACACACACACACACACACACACACACCTTAACCCTATAATGAAGAGTCTCATTATTTATTAGGTTAATTTTATTCCTAATCATGTCACACTGTTAGTAGAATTTGCAATTAGGAATACTATGAATAAGGGCCACACAAGGGTTGCCAATTAATAGATATAAAATTTGTGGTTTAAATGTGGTGACATTTTAAGGTATTTATGTACTTCTTCACACTCTTGATTTAGAGAGGTCTGAACTTCTTCTATTTTTTTTTAAGCTGATAAGTGGTTAATGTCTTTGTGCTTTATTTTTAATTTGAAAAGGCCTTATTATGATGATTGGGTTGGAAGGTTTTGCAGTTCTTACATAAGAGATGCTGCAGTATATATTGAATAGTTGGGAATGATGGGAATCCCTGGCTTTCTGAGTAGATCTAGTAACACTTTTCATACTTAGGTAATGTGTATATGAGGGGAAGGTAAGATGGTAATTTCACCCTTAATTTAGAAATGAAATGAGTACTGGTTTCATAGCTTATGGTCCCTTTAGCTTCTGTTTCCCGGGATATTCCAGTAATGTGGAGATGGTTTTGCACTGTCTGGTTGCCCAGGATGGTCTGAGAGCATAATTACACTTCCTAACTTAAAGGCATGAAATGAGACATGTAATAGAAGTGAACATGGTGACTTTTCTCCATTCATCTGAGCTAGACATTCAAATTACTAAATAATAATGAAGAGCAGTAAAATAGCCGGAGAATATCACAAACATGAACATTGACTCCTCCACCCTGCACCATAGCCACTTCCCAGCTAAAGCAGCAGCTGCAGCAACAACCATCCCTTCTGAAATCACCCACGCCCACCCCTACCCGCCCCCACGCCTTCCCTGGCATTCTAATCCTGGCTTTTCTTGTTCTCATGCAACACTGGACAAATTAATGCTCTTATTTTCTGTCTCATCTGCAAATGGGCATTATAAGAGCACCTACTTCATTGGGGCAACTGTATGGGTTTAATTAACATGTAAAATATCAGAACTGGAGCATGTACTATATAACAATTAAGCAATATTAATATTAGTATTGTTCTTCCAAAATCTAGTTTATGGATCTGTTCAGGGTCAGTGAGTATGACTGATTGCTAGGATAGAGAGAGGTTTTGTTTTCCTGACTCCAAAACTTTTATTTAGTAAAAACCAAAAACCGGGAGAAAGCCCACATGTTTTGAAACATCCCACTAGTGCCTGTAAAATCCATTAACTTCTGAAATGATCTGTATTGGCTGTTAACGGGAACAAATTGCGCAAGTGGGGACAGAATGGGATAGTAGTTTTCATTCAGAGCCAGCAGTGAGACTGATGCCTGGCAGTCTGACTTGCGTGAGTGAGCAAGTTATTACAAATATCTGTCACTTAAATAATAAACTAAAAAACGACCTCCCCCCCCCCCCCCACGGAGAATAACTGCATCATAGTCTTCCTAGCCAGTGGATGAGAGAGAGAAAAAGGTAGACACATACTATGTATTTGAGATCATGAACATGACAAAACACTTTTACATAGGGAAGCTATGTTACAGAATACAGGGCAGATAGTAAGCTGTCTTTGGTATTTAATTCCTCCATTTACAGGCTTTGCTGTTTGTTTGCTTTTTTTCCTCTTTTCTTGTTCTTATTTTGAGACAGAATCTCACCACATAGCCCTGGTTGGCCCTGGAATTCACTACATAGACCAGGCACCTGCCTCTGCCTCCCAAGTGCAGGGATTAAGGTGTGTGCCATTATGCTCGGCTCTTCACCAGATTTTGATGCCTGTTTTCCTTTAAACATTGTTCAAATGATGGATTAATTTCATTGTTGACGGTTTTATCTTAGTTGCCTTAAAAATCTGTAGTTAATCAGGTATATGATTAGACTGAGCCCCCAAATCACTGTCCAGCTTTGCTTGCATTGCATGGAAATTTGTTTTTATGGATCTTTTTTTTTTTTCTTAAAGCCATTTCTTGGTATCAAGGTCCTTTCCCCCGCCTCTGGCTTTATTTCTGATTTGCCGCCTGATCTGTCGAGCTCATGCTTGCTAGAGCTGTTTTTTGACAAACGTTCTGAGTCAAATTCCCTCTTTGCTTTAAGCCTTGCTACAAGTAGATGGGTCCATAGTCCAGCAGCATCCACACCACTTGTTTTAGAAATGCAGACTCCTGAGCCTTGCTCCAGACTGGCTGAGTGAGAATCTTAAGATTCCCAGGCTATTTGTGTGAACTTGTGAAGCCCCATTTAGCTGATCATCTATGTGTTAATTTCTCTATTTAAAGATCTCTCTCTCTCTCTCTCTCTCTTCCTCCCTCTCTCCCTCTCCCTCCCTCCCTCCCTCCCTCCCTCCCTCCCTCCCTCCCTCTCTCCCTCCCTCCCTCCCTCTCTCTCTCTCTCTCTCTCTCTCTCTCTCTCTCTGGTTTTTCAAGACAGGGTTTCTCTGTATTGTTTTGGAGGCTGCCCTGGAACTAGCTCTTATAGACCAGGCTGGCCTCAAACTCAGAGAGATCCGCCAATTGTGCTTGCTGTGTTCTGAGTCATATAGCATGTCAAAATATTTTGCCTTTAGAGATGTAGATATAATCATAGCGTTAGAAGTGTTTTACTGTTTGTCAATAGGTTTAATAGGTGAATATTTCCTTTTCTCTTCTCTAGGACATTCCTGGAGATTTTAGAAACATTTCTACCATGGAATCCATCTCTATGATGGGAAGCCCCAAGAGCCTGGAGACTTTTTTGCCTAACGGCATAAACGGTATCAAAGATGCAAGGAAGGTCACTGTGGGCGTGATAGGAAGTGGGGATTTTGCCAAGTCTCTTACCATTCGGCTTATTAGGTGTGGCTATCATGTGGTCATAGGAAGCAGAAATCCCAAGTTTGCATCTGAATTTTTTCCTCATGTGGTCGATGTCACCCACCATGAAGATGCTTTAACGAAAACGAATATAATATTCGTGGCTATCCATAGAGAACATTACACCTCCCTGTGGGACCTGAGACACCTGCTTGTGGGCAAAATCCTGATTGACGTGAGCAACAACATGAGGGTAAACCAGTACCCAGAATCCAATGCGGAGTATCTGGCCTCGCTATTCCCAGATTCCTTGATTGTCAAAGGATTTAATGTGATTTCAGCTTGGGCACTTCAGTTAGGTCCCAAGGATGCCAGCCGCCAGGTATGTGTGACCTTAAATTTTATTATATGTCTGGTATTTTGTAATCAAGTAAACCAACTTCTAATATTATTATTTAAATTATAAACAAGCTTGCTTTACATTGATTATTTGAAAACTGTGTAAGATAATGTGAAGACTACATTCCAACTGCATAAAGGCATGTTTGTCTTCACAAAAAAAGATTGGTGAAAACTTCATAAGATGACATGTATTTTTCTGTAATTGCCAGTTAATTAAAGAAAGGCTGATGTTAGCCGATGTGTCATATGACACATTACATTAATCCTCCAGAATTAAAAAAAAAGTAACACATGTTTTCCCCTCTCTTTCTGCCCTCCCTTCCCCCATCTTTCCCCCTTTCTGCCTTTGCTGTGGCTACTTGGTAATGCAGTGTTCCACCTCTGAATTAAGTAGGACTTTGTAGAATCCCTTAGAATGACCTTTGTGTTTCTCATAGATTACGTTTTATAGCACATAAAAAGTCACATCCGTTGTAAGCATGGATTTTGAGCCGTGGGGCAGTTAGGCGGAGGTAGACTGAATTTCTCAGATTCACTCTCAGCACACAAGGCTATGGATCACACCTCATCTAGCTTGGGAAGGCAGCTGATGGCAGGTTCTGTTAAAGCTTCTGGAATGAAGTAGCTGTAGGAAACACACAGGGAAGCTACTTTAAAAGCCCTTCAGAGGTGTGCTTGGGTATTGCGTCTGAGGGCTGTGGTAAAAGAACCTTTTCATTTTTTGCTCATAGAGACAGTTGATTATGGGGCTGGAAAGATGGCACAGCTGCCGTTCTTGCAGAGCACAGGAGTTTGGGTCTTAGCTCACAACTGCCTGCAGCGCCAACTCCAGGCCTCTGAGGGTGCCTGCCCTCCTGTGCACAGACTCACACATAATAAGTCTTTTAAAAGACAGTTAATTCCATCCCTCATATAGTGGATTCTTACCATGTTATTCTGGGTATCAGGGTCGTGAACTCTGTATTGAGTACCTGGCATCCTGTGACACAAGCACCTGACCTTAGGGGAGAAGGGTTCGCCTTGCTCAGTTTCAGAGGGTTTGCCTCATCACGATGGGGAAGAACGACGGACCAGAGCCATTCTGCCCATAGAGGGCAGAAAGCAGAGACAGGGCAAAGCCACCACCCTGCTGGCTTCTCCTTTCTCTTCCTTTATCACCCCAGCCTACTTGATGGTTGGCCCACCTTGGGGTTGAGCCTTCCCCCCTGGTTAATCCTCACTGGAAATGGCCTCAGACACGTCCAGAAGTGTGCCTCGCCTTCCCTTGGGTGATTTCGCATTCCAGCACAGTGACAAAATTGGCTGTCACAGAAACCACTCACTCCAGGTGTGTCCCTCTCGCCCTGCCCCTTCTTACTTTCAGTTTTTGTGAGACAGTCGCACACTTCAGTCCACGGTGGCCTCCACCTTGTGGCGTCTCCCAAAGACTGGGATTACAGGCACAAGCCACCACACCTGGCTCACCCCCCCCCCCCCGTTAGAGATCAGACCTACACAGGCTAGGCAAGCGCTTGCTGCTAAACGTGGTTCCTTCTTTTCCAGAAATTATATCCCATAAAATTGGCAAATTTGAGCCAAGGCCTATCTGACAAAGTTGACATAATCCTTCCTCATATTCATGATCATTCCAATTTTTAGTGGAAAAAGCCTTCATGGAACAATGATTAAATTCAAGTTCAAAATGATCTACAAGGCCCATCATGACAAGAGCTATATAACTGATACTTCATCATGCTTGAACGATGAACATTCAGCAGTATTGAATGTTTCACTTACAGTTCTGGATTTATTGTTATCATTTATAGACTTTTCTCCAAATAAGAAAAAGGAATTAATTATAATATGTCATCATTTACAGGCTTTTCTCCAAATAAGAAGAAAGGTTCTATCATAATGTTATTATTTATAGACTTTTCTCCAAATAAGAAGAAAGGGCTTGCTCCAGCATTTCGCACCTGCAACAAATTAATATGAATGCAAATTTTGATATAAAAGTTTCCCATTTTAGAAATCCATATTTGTTTAATAGCACAGAGTTTATTGTTCATAAAGCTGGGAGTCAAAGCCTGAAAGCTGAACTCTGTATTGTCACCTTCATGTAAAAAGATTTAACATGCAAACACTTCAGTGTGGCCTCTTCAGAGCTTGTGTACAAATGCCTTCGGGGATATATTTGGAAATTTGTTTTCCTCAAACAGCACTAGAGACTTTGTACTAATATTTTTCTAGCCCTGAGTGAGATGATCTTCTTATTCATAGTAGTAGCTTACTCTAGCAGTAACTTGTAGTTCAACAGATACTTGTTGAATTTTTTTACTATTTCATAGTATCAAAAGGGTTTTAAGCCTCCTTACCCTACCTATGCCATCATTAGAGTTCCTATGGAGATGATGGCCTCCTCACTCTATCTACGCCATCTTCAGAATTACTACAGAGATGATGTGTTTAGTCTTAGAAAATGGCAGTTCCATTCTGTTTAAGTTAATAGCCTTATAGAATCATCATTTTACTTGTGAAGAATATATCAAAAAATGAAGAAATTTTATATGTTCACCTATGAAACAATATACCTGGAATCATTCAAGTGTTTTACGGATACTTAATGAATTGGCCTCTAACTCTAAAGGTAAATTTTATAATGAGTCTGGCATCATGACATAATTTGTACATTTTACTTGAGAGGGCTACCACCTGGAGTCCGTGCCCGTCTGCACTCTTTCTGGGATAGCTATGAAGGACAGTACTTTGCACCACTCTCCTCAGCAGGAGCTCTACCTTCCTCCAACTGAAAGTTGATCATAGAAGCAAGGAGATCCAGCTGGGCTTAGAGGATATGGCCACACAGCCCTCTGGGGAGGGAGGGGTATGCCTTCCCTAGCAGGGGCTCCTGGCCAGGGTGCCCCAGGAAGCATACCTTCTCTTCCGGCAGCCTCCCTCTCCCGAGCCTTCCAGGTCACAGCTAGATTCTCTTCCCTTTCTTTCCATCACAGGGGAAAAGACTTTTTAGTTTTCATTACGCTATTTTAAGTCTGTCTTTTAAGATACTAATAAATCTAACTATAATGTGATACTTTTGATTGATTAGTCCATTAAGATACTGTTTTAAACTATTAGCAATACCTATGGTAGTATTTAGTTTAAGTCTGTTTAATAATTTACAGCTAATAATCATTTTTTTTCTCATCTTCATTCACGGGCATCACTCAAAGTCGTTAAACAATGCACCATAGATGATTCAGTACAGCTTGTGATTGACCATTGACCTTTTATGAACAGCAATGGTAACGAGCCTCTTGGTTTTTGTTTTACAGGTTTATATATGCAGCAACAATATCCAAGCTCGACAACAGGTTATTGAGCTTGCCCGTCAGTTGAATTTTATTCCTGTTGACTTGGGATCCTTATCATCAGCCAAGGAGATTGAAAATTTACCCCTGCGACTATTTACTCTCTGGAGAGGGCCAGTGGTAGTAGCCATAAGTTTGGCCATATTTTTCTTTCTTTATTCCTTTGTCAGAGATGTGATACATCCATATGCCAGGAACCAGCAGAGTGACTTTTACAAGATTCCTATTGAGATTGTGAACAAAACCTTGCCTATAGTTGCCATCACTTTGCTGTCCCTGGTATACCTGGCGGGTCTCCTGGCAGCCGCGTACCAGCTTTATTATGGCACCAAGTACCGCAGATTCCCACCTTGGTTGGACACCTGGTTACAGTGCAGGAAACAGCTAGGCCTGCTGGGCTTTTTCTTTGCTGTTGTCCATGTTGCCTACAGCCTCTGCTTACCGATGAGAAGGTCAGAAAGATACTTGTTTCTCAACATGGCTTATCAGCAGGTACTGAATGCTTGTTATTTATCTGAGTCAAAATAGTGTAAATTTATACACACTTCACAACTGCGTTTTTCCTTTGGCGTATTTACGGAGCAGAAAGTACTGACTGTTTGCTTCGTGGGGACTGTTTCGTTTGAGACAGGGTCTCACTATGTAGCCCTCACTGGCCTGGCACAGGCCACATAAGCCAGGCTGGCCTTGAACTCACAGAGACCTGCATGCTTCTGCCTCTTGAGTGCTAGGATTAAAGGAATGAGCAGCCACACCTAGTGGCCAGGAGTTTGGCTGCTGCTTTTTCAACATAGCAGCCCAAGGGCTCTTTTGGGATGTTTGTAAGAGTGGCTTTTTTTTTTTTTAATATAAGTATGCTTTGTTAACTGGAACTGGACAAAGTAAAGATGGTATTAAGAATATACTTTTTTCCACCAGTAGATACACATTTAAATCAAATTTTAGGCTTAAGAGATCCAACTCTTAACTTATGCTCTCATTGTATTATTTATAGATAAATAGATAAGATTGCCATAAATTCACAGTTAAGTCAGACTTGATCAATATGCATTAGCAATATAATTGGTAGAAAAGTACTGCAAATGAATGAAAAAGTTGGGAACTGGGAAGGTATATTAGTGAGGTCATTCAAGTTAACAGATATTTCAGCTCCTTGGAACCTTATCCTGAGGCAATTTTGGATTCCGGGAAAGAAAGGTTAAGAAGAAAGAGGCTTTGACATAGACGGGGTGAGGAAGCAGGTACCTTACAAGTCTGAGTCAAACTTAGTAGGACACACCTCACACATTCGGCCACGGTTCTACAAGCCTGTAAAGGGACCCCAGAGTCTGACCACAAATGCTTCTTCTCTGTCACTTGAGAACCAGTCAGCTGGCGTTCCACAGTCTGGGACTTGGGGCCTCTACAATAGTGACTCATTCTGAACATAATGGCACAGGAGGTGGGGTCTTAGCCCTGTTTTGATTTAAAACTCTCTCCCCTTTTCTCCACATCTGAATAATACTAAGAACAGGTTCTCCACGATGGCTCATTATGCTGAATTAATTAATACTATTAATCTTAAACACGCTAGATCATAAGTGGCCTGGTTCTTTGTAGACCAAGAGTAAATGGTGTGTAGAATCAGCTAATGTGCTATGAAGTAAAGGAAATCCACATTTGTTTTCTTGTTAGGTTCATGCAAATATTGAAAACGCTTGGAATGAGGAAGAGGTTTGGAGAATCGAAATGTACATCTCCTTTGGCATAATGAGTCTGGGCTTACTGTCCCTGCTGGCAGTCACTTCAATCCCTTCTGTGAGCAGTGCTTTAAACTGGAGGGAATTCAGCTTTATTCAGGTATGTGGGGTTCTTCTGGTACCACATCAGACAGCATAGCATTTCCTCGTTAAACTCAGGGTTAAATGTGCTCCCTCTAAAAAGAATGCCTTTGAAGCCGTAGTTACTCATCCAGTTCAGGCAGCGCACATGGCCGGAGGCCAGATTACAACCACTCTGGTTAGTAAGGGAAAGGCCGGCACATCGTTACATCAGCAGGCAGCCGGGGCAATGTCTGTTATATTATGGAATAACAGGGGAGATGTGGGCTTAGGTAAGATTTAATGTTAAAAGTCAGTCAATTTACTTTGATTTTTTTAAAATTTACTTTTATGAGCATCTTACTCGTTTCTGTGTGTGTATCACGTATATGTCTGGTGCTCACAGAAGGCAGAAGAACATGTCAGATCTGCTGGAACTGAAGTCTTGGACCAGTTGTGAGCTACCATGTGGATGTTAAAAATCCAACTAAGTCTCTGAGCCATCGATCCAGGCCCCAAAAGTCAATGTATTATTAATCAAATGAACTCACAGGTACACACACAATCACAAGCACTGTCAGACAAAGTGACTATGCTAATGGGTTGTGACAACCAACTGTGTTTGTGAATTTTTTTTTTAAGTGTAAGCCCCAGTTTATTTTTCCAAGGCTTTTTGTTTTGTTTTGTTTTTTTGTTTTTTTCTTCTGTGTTCATGAAGCCATCTCTTTACACGGGCTTTGGTGGAGCAGGTCTAAATCGTGGTGGGGGTGTTGGGTCCTTCCCGGCTTCACGAGATTGATTCCTGACTACTTGGCTATGAATAGCACAGCTCACACAGTAGCTCAGCTTGACACAGAGTTTGGGAAGCACATCAGCGTGGAAGACACTTGCTTCAGATATGTCCCTGACAGCAGCGGCCTCTACAGTGTTCTGAATGACGAACTTCTTAATGGCCTTGCCCATGGGCACGCACGGGGCGCAGTCCGTGCAGCGAATTGCTGTGGCTGTGGCTCTTGTTGGCACACCAGTTGTTCCTTCCATTTTTGGTCTTGTCACTTCCTCCTCCAAGGCTCTGGCTCTCAAGTCCCTACAATCCGAGGCCCTACTCTTCACCCATTGCCCACTCTCCCCCGCATTTCTGAGTCTTGTTTTTGTGTTTTACTTTGTCAACCATAAACCAATGCACAAGAGTATCTGTAAAGAAATTCAGAGAGCATTTGTGTTCTTTAAAAAGTCAAATGTTTACTTCCATTAATATCTATATAACTTATCTACATACTTTAAATATATATATATAATTTGGATTCTAGTTATATGGTCACAATCTGTACTTTCCGATCCAAATGGTAAATAGCACAATATATATATAATATAGATAGTAGAGATTTTTGATAGTACACTGTTTTATTCTTTGCCTACCGATGTGTTAGGGGTTTTTGTTTGTTTTTATTTTCTGGAGGAGCAGGGAGGTATACTTATAGGCTTTCTCTATGTGGTATTGGTTGCTCTGGAACTGGCTCTGTACGCCAGGCTGGCCTGACACTCAGAGAGATCCACCTGCCTCTCCCTCCCCCAGTGCTGGGATTAAAGGTGTGCACCATCATGCCTGGCTGCTTACGGGAACTTTTAAATGATATTTTCATATCTTCTTTGAAAGTGCCGTACATGCATACAATGTGTTTCTTACATTCACTCCCTGCTTCTTCTCTCCAGCTCACCTCTTTTTAAAAGTCATGCAGAAAATCTAATTAAGGGTAATCCTTGTCTAAATTCGTTTCTCTCTTGGGAGAAAGGAGAATGGGAATGTATTCCCAGCCGCTATTTTATCACATCAGAAAGGAAACGGAAGGCTTTCTAGTAGAAGGTTCTAGGCAGACACCCGTCATCATAAAGTTAGACGACTAATTGCAAGCATCTTCCCTTCTAGAGAGCTGACATTTTCCTAGTGGACTTAGACATTACATCAGTATACTGATGTACTATTACTTTTGTGTAATATAAACTAGTTGTCAAAGTAAGTAACCTTAAACATAGTAATTCAGAGAACTGAAAACAGTAACCTTTTAACCTATAAAATGGCTGACTAAAGTATTTTTAGTCATCTCATTTATTATGGTCAGTAGCCACATTTGAATTATTACTTAGATTACATATTAATACTCTAAGTTGTATCATATTTTCTTATTAACTAGTATCTATGTATGTACTATATATGTCTGTATATGTATATATGTGTATGTATATATATGTATGTATATATGTGTATATATGTATGTATGTATACTCAAAAGACCACTCTTTGGCATTCATGTATATATGCTTGTGTACATACCTTTATATCCCTGTACACACACTGCTACATGGTTTTATACACAACATGTAGCAATTTGGATAACCCCACCACTATTTTGCTTATTTGTTGAGACAGATTCTCACTATGTAGCCCAGGCTGGCCTCAGACTCCTGATACAGATCAGGCTCGCTTTGAATTTGCAGTCCTCTTTCCTTGTCCTCCCTAGTACTGGGATCACAGCCATGTGCCGTCATGACAGCGGCATAAAGCATACGGACACCATGAATATCTGTACCATTAGAGAAACGCTAAGATATTCTGATCAATAATCCCAGTAGTAGAATCAGTCCTAAGGGCATAAACCAAAATATAAAGGGTCTAAAGTGATATTATTTATAGCTGAATAAATTTGCCATCAGAATGATCAACACAAAGGAGTGATTATACACAGCCATTCAATAAAACATTACACAATATTAATGATATTTAATCATTTTTAGTGGTGTGGAAATGCTTGTGTTGTACTAAATTAACTAATGAGACTATTCATGCAGTTTACGCAGTCTGACCTGATACGTACAAGACCGGAGCAGCGCAAATAAGCGCATAGGAAATGTACGCAACTGTCTTAAATTGCTTCACTCAGACGATGGTGGGTCAGCCACTTCAAGAATAAAGCGTAAGCAGGGTATCTGCATGGGCTGTTGTATGGGTGAGTAACGTATGTCTTTCTCTTCCCGTCTGTCTCAAGTCTACGCTTGGCTACGTGGCGCTGCTCGTAAGTACTTTCCACGTGTTGATCTATGGATGGAAACGCGCTTTTGCAGAAGAGTACTACCGCTTCTACACGCCGCCAAACTTCGTCCTGGCACTGGTTCTGCCCTCAATTGTAATCCTGGGGAAGATGATCTTACTCCTCCCATGCATAAACCGGAAGCTAAAAAGAATTAAAAAGGGCTGGGAAAAGAGCCAGTTTCTTGAGGAAGGCATGGGAGGGACAGTTCCTCATCTGTCCCCAGAGAGGGTCACAGTGATGTGACCCGGAGAGGTGCTCACTGACAACGTCGTACACACTTCCGTCCAAGCCATCACGTCACGGCTCCCCCCACCTTCCCTGAGAGGACTGTCAATCTGCTGTAGTGTGACACCTGGCAGTGAGATTTCAGCTGAAATCGTGCTAGCATTTTCTTCAAGTTAATTTTTTTTAAATGTCATATTTTGCCAACATGAAATTTTGTAGCTCACATGTCTTGTTATCATGTAGGAGTATTTTCTTTTGTGTAACTGTAACAGCACTGTTATTTTAACTATATTGCATAATCAGGCAGAACTATTTGTAGTTGATAACGTAGAATGTTTAGAACATTTGGCAAACCAGCAGAATTTGAAGCTTTTGATGTTACTCAGTGGATAGACATTTTCTCTGAGGCTAAGGATTTCAATTGTTACCCAGTTTAAGAAAGAGAAATGCATAATTATACATCATTGAGGAGGGACACATCATATTAGCACCTAGAGTGTTCAGGAGTAATCTTATACTTTCATAAAAATGGGACTGGAAAATGCCATGAATTATATAAAGCAGTATGAGTGTGAGCACACACAAATGAAAGAGGAACCTGAAATTATATTTAAAATGCACTGGAGGCATGAAATTAATACTGCTAATGCACAACTCATGAGAGCTTTATTCTCTTACGTTACAGATCCGTTTCATTTTCACATTTATGTCAGTCAGAGAAAGGGCTCAGCGACTTGGTCTCTCAAGCTGTAATTCTGCCTCCCGTGTAACTCTGAATACAGTACCAACCCCAGGAGTTGTAGAAATGCCCTTAGTTGCAGTGAAAGTGTCAGGTTTGCACATTGTCACGTGTCAGTTTGCATATGTTGCTTTGGCCAGCTGCCACTCTTCCTGAGTAGGATTTTACTGCTGTCCACTGAGGGAGTGTGGCACGGTTCTAAACACTTGTCTTGTCCCATTTAATACTTACAACAAACCCATGAAATAGTTAAATGATCTTCATCTTACGTATGGGGAACTGAAGGATAGAGAAGTTGAACTTCCCTAAGGTCACACAGTGAATAGGTGGCCGAGTAGTCACCCTTCAGAACCCATTGTCTTGTTAAACATCAGGGCATACAGCTCCTGCCCCATCTCCATGCACTGCATCCATGATGCCAATCTAGACGTTTCCTCTCTTGGATAGCCACTGACAGTCTGTAGAGTATGCTGTGTGCCGCACAGGATGTGTAGAAGTATCCTAGTCGTAATTTGGGAAGCAGTTTATAAGAACGAAGGATAACAGGACACACAGCTAATTATAAACCTACTCCAGAGACACACAATCATTTAGATTATCCATCAAATGTTCTCAGTGCTGGTATTCCATGTGTAAACTGCATTTTGTTCAAACTTGGGGATATACTACATTTTTCCCATTTGTTCCTTACTTATCATAGTAGAAAGTTATAGATAGGATGTAATTATATGTATTCTTCCTAAAACTGTATCATTTCTAAAGTTACCACTGACTTGACTCCAACTATCAATAATAAAATGACTCTTATTTTTGTGGAACTGTCTTTTCCACCAGTGTCTCTTTTTCTATCCCTGCATTTAGTCTGGGAAATCACCCACTACTCTTCGATGATTTCTTGGTGAACTGTAACACTGAACACCCCATTTTAATTATATTGATCATAATCATTAATTCTTAGCAGTAACCCAGTATAGCGATGGCTTTCAACAGTAAATACCTACAAGCTGGTGGCGCACGCCTTTAATCAGAGCACTCAGGAGGGAGATGCAGGTGGATCTCTGTGAGTTCGAGGCCAGCCTGTTCTACAGAGCGAGTTCCAGGACAGCCTCCAAAACAATACAGAGAAACCCTGTCTTGAAAAACCAAAAAAAAAAAAAAAGATGATTAAAGTACATGTTATATATGTTAAGATGTTAGGTAGCCCATAATATAAAGTTACTGCTATTATACATACAGGGGACCTTTGTAAATATAAAATTACACAAAGGTTACAAATATCCTTCAAATGACACTTTTTCTTTGGAATGCTACAAAAATGGAATAATTTTAGTTTCATAGTAGATGCAATAAAGTTATTACAATTTTAAATGATGAAAGGCCCCCTCTCACAATGCATTATCTATTTATTCACTTAGGGTTGCTTAATTTAGTATTTCCATAATTTTTCTCTTTATCTTTAAGGGCATTTTTCTGGCTTCAGAAGTAGACTGACGTTTGATGTTGTCAATTGTGAGAAGGTGGCGGTAGGGGATTACCATTCAAAGAGTAGGCCTAGGGAGGCCCCAGTGGCTAAGGGTCCTGGTGAGCTGGGTCTGGTCCCTGGGATGACTGGGTACTGACTCCTACGAACTGCTCTCTGACACGACACGCACGCTCATGTTCTCTCCTCTCTCTGTCTGTCTCTGTCTTTCTCCCTCACATACAAAGCAAATGAAATATAATTTAAAACCCTAAGAGGTGCAGGGAGGGTAGGTTTTTAAAGAGGAGTGAAACTTTGTTTACCAATTTATGTTTTGAGAAGTATGAGAAAATGATAGGAATGTAGAAAACATAATCTGTCTTAATCCTTTGTAAAGACAGCCAAGTAATTTTTCCTTTGAGGAAAAAAACTCATATAACATGTATCATGATACTTAGTTTTTATGCAGATTTCATGCTTCCTTTATTAGGAATATTTAAAACCACATTTAAATATAAATGTATGCATATTAACATCTGTTTTAAGAAGATACATTAAAATTTAGCTCAACTAATCTACATGAGATTTTTATTTAAATTTTAAAAATTATAAATTATGATTATTTATTAGAGCTAATTATTTTGTATGGTACAGAGGGTGGCTGATGAGTTCATACTAAACTACCTGATTATTTTCTTAAAAATTAGCATAACTTCAAATCGACAGAATTTGACTTTCAAAATTAATTTGATAATGATAAAAACATGTTCTACTTAAGTCAAATTATGTGAAAATTATTTTTAAACAGGATTCAAGAATATTCAAGAATAATTTGAATGTGATTAACATAGTGGATTTCAGGACAGTCAGGGCTGTAAAAAGACCCTGACTCAAAAACAAACAAACAAAAAAACCTTTCTCTTTCTGTCTCTTTACATAAATATGTATATATATATATATTCAATTTTTTCTATTATTTATCTCTTATGTAATATGACAAAATCTTAAATTTTTATGCCATTAAGCTATTAGTAACATATTCTATAGTGTTCCCTCCCAAAATGAGGTCTATTTATAAAATTTAAGTATTTCACGTGGCATTTAAAATATAAGTACTATAAATGTAACTCATAACTATACTGTAAACAACTAATAAATCCTGCCTTTGAAATGTGCAAGCAGAATAAAATAGAAATTGTTTTGTTAATTCATGACAAAGCAGCGTCACATGTAGTGTAACATACCTCAGTCCACTGCTACAGTTCTGTGTGACATCAGGAAAAAGAGTTGCCCAACCCTGCACTGTTCAGAAGTCAGTAGGACAAATTCTGGCATAAAGACAGTAGTAAGGTTACCTAAAATGAAAGTGTAGCGATTTTAGTGACAATAGTCTGTTCTTCTGAGTGTCACAGAGTGAACAGGTTCTTTGGTACTTTTGAGTGTGACAAAATCATAAAGTACTTCATTTTCAGTGGCTCTAGCCATATGGTACTAAAACAGTGTTTCTGTTTAGCCTAATACGCATACTAGGAATTGTCGGGTTGTTTTTTCAGCTTTACGAATCACTAAGTCTCCACTGTGCACAGATCCACAATGAAGGCAGACCAGGCATCTTCCCAGTGGCTTAGACACACTCCTGGTAGCTAGATGAGCTAAGGTAACTCACAAAAGCAGGTGCTGTATATGAGTTCCAAATTGCCAACTTGCAGGAGTCATTCTCATGGGTTTTCTCCTGAGGCTTTTCACAGTTGGTCAGGTGTTTGCCCTTCACGCTGTCTCTTTCCTCACGCCTGGGCTGCGAGGACTTCTGTTCACACCTTAGGAAGCGAGTTGTCCTTGTGACTGGTCTCAGTGGCTGACTGGGAGGCGTCCGTGCGATGAGTCCTGGCCTCTGAGGACGGCTCCAAGGAAAGTGGCATGTGTTCTTCATGGGCCCTTCCATCTGGCTAATGAGGTTGTGGACAGACAATTGTCCCCACACTCAGAGGCAGAATGGAGGCCACTAGAAAAGAGACAACTCCCTGCTTCTTCCTGTGCTTAAACAATTTTAACTGGGTTTCTGTGTTCTCTGAAACTAACTTTTATCCTTTCCAGTTCTTTGTCACAATATAAATTAGCATTCTTGAATAGGTTAGACTAATAATTCTTTTAAAAGTTTTTAAAGGATAATATACAATTTATGTTAAAATTAATATTCTATTGTTAATTAATTGTACTTGTTTTCTGCCTTTATATTTCATTAGCTATTTTGTATGGGCTTGTGTGATTTTCTTTGCACAAATTTTTCTTGTAAGTGTGTATTCATTTTTGCTAAAGGTCTGTATCCTGTAAAATACTGTTAACAAACTGCATACCATGGTTTTATGTCATTCTCCTAGACCTGCCTTATATACATTTCAATAAAAAGTATTATTTAATGTTTTGATTTTGCTCTTTTAAATCGTATTGAGTAATTTGAATATTTGATGGAATTCATCTAATATTTTGGTCTTTGTTTTTTTTTTCCCCTTAACTTTTTAAATTTATTCTTTGTGTCTTTTCCTATCCCATCCATCTCCTTCCCCTGCCAAAATAAAACAAAATAAGAGAAAAAAAAGGGGGGGAGAAGAGGAAATCCTAACATGGAAGCTGCAGCGTGACACACTGAATCACACAGTAAACGCCTTAAATCATACATTTTTACACGCAGGCGCTTATCACAAAGAATCATGGGTCTGGTTAGAGGCCACTCACTGGTCTCTGCTACACCATCGACGCCGGGCTCTCACTGGGACTCTCCCTGGACGTCCTGTTGCTGCCCTGTGTCTTGGAGATCCTGCAGCCCTGGGTCCACAGGACATGCACCCGCCCTACCCCCACACCGGTCCTCTTGCAGACCACAGATCGGGTGGATACCGGGGTGGGCCAACCCATATCCCTGGTTCTTGCCTGGGTAGTGGCGGGGTTGGTCAGTCCTTTCCCTCTCCTCTGTCCTCACCACCCGGGCAAGCTCTCCAGCATTGCCCTGGCGGGCTCACCCCTTGCAGCAATGAGCAAGGGGCGGGGCCAGCCTCCCACACCTACACTTCTGGGCCAGCTCTACTGGGTTGCCCAGGGGAGTTGTAGGGGCCACTCTCCCAAGGGCTGCAGCTGATGAGGGGCAGGAACAGCTCTCACCACACCCACCTCAGGTATTGATGGGTGGGTGTGGCGGGGGGAGGGGGGAGGGAGGAGGGCATCTCTTCCCCGCCCATGCCACCATATGACAGATGCAAAATGGGGACAGCTCTCCTTGTTCACAACTTCAGGGCTGGCTCACCCACACCTTCTGCCAACAGGGTCAGCTCTACTGTGCTGCCCCAGTGAGGTGCAGGGCCAGCTCTCCTGAGTGTTGCTGCTGGTGGCAGGCAGGGCCAGCTCTCCTGCTCAGGTGTCCATGGAAGGGGAAGGGGGAAGTTTTTAGGGTTGGCTCACCTGCGCCTTCATCAGCAGGGCCGGCTCCACTGTGCTGCCCAGATGAGGTACAGGGCCCGCCTTCCCAAGTGTTTTAGCTGGTAAAGGAGTCAGTTCCCCCAGCCAGCTGGAGGCTGTAGGGGGCGAAAAGGAGGACATCTTTCCCTGGCTCCCACCACCACAACAGAGATGGGGGAGGCGGTACCAGCTATCTGTCTTTGTTTTTAAAAGACATCCAGAAAGCATAGTTATACTTTGGGTAGGGGACTGTATTTACACAAGTAGTCATTTAGACGAAGCTCTGTTTAATGAAGATCTTTTCAGTTCATTGAGCACTTTTAGATCAGGATACCTACAATACTTAAGCTATTCTGCAAACCAGGAATGTAGTGTTAGCTGTTGCTGAGTCTCCGGTGTCTCATACAGTATGTTCTACAGCAGATATTTAGAGATATGACTTGTTCTTATAGAAAATTATGCTGCTCATCTCTTCTGAAGCTATGTCTTCCTGCCTGGACCTCACATCCCTTCCTATCACTGCCTGCCCTCCTTGGCTTGTCTCCTGTCAGTGGCCCTGAGCTGCCCTGTCCTCCCAGGAAGGAGGGGCTGGGGTGTTGCCACCACCACTGACACACTGCTCCTTGCTGAGGAGTCCTATGCGTGCAACACATCAGGAGAAACCGACATCTGTGGATCTGCATGGAGATGCTTGAGTGTGTATCCTGACAGGATTACCAGAACAGAGTTCTCAGGTAAATTTGAATCGTGGACCAACAATAAATAATCATTTATGGCTAGTATTTTAAATATGGTACAAGCATTGTTTGGCCTTTTTTTTTCCCTAATGTGTTAACCCAAATGAAGGGAATAATTTGACCAAGGAGATACAACATAACATTGAGCTAGTAAATACACTATCCATCCATTTCCTCCAGGTGGAATGTTCCAATGTATGATTCAGCAGACCTTCGTGGCAACACCCTATAAAACCAAGCAATTAACTATACATGTTCAAAAGCCACGACAAGTTTAGTAACATCTATTTTTCCCTTTCTCTGCCCAGGAATAACAGTCCCAAATAAAGTGATGATTGCTGTGTGTTTTTGGAAGGCTCAGGAAACAGACTAACACATGTGGAATTGTTAAATGGCAAATTAGGTATGGAATAAATTATTTTTGCAGTTTTAGGCATAAGACCCTTCAGGCTCAAAATCCAGATGTGCTGAGCGACCCAATGACAGATTCATACTGATCGAATGTATAGTAATAGATATTAAATTAGCATAGCAATTTACTGACACTGAAAAATAGCAGTGTCTTACAGGTGATAATACCAACATGACTTTCACTAGACATAGTGTATTCTTCAGTCTGCTCATAAGAATTCAGATTTTAGCTTAAAAGATGCTGGGATTTATTATGGACTGAATTGTGTCTTCCAAAATTTGTATGCTGAAGTCCTAACCCCCCACTACCTCGGAACATGACTGTACTTGGAGATTGGTGTTTAAAGAGATAATTGGGGTGAGATCAAATGGATGAGTCTTAATCCAATATGACTGACACCCTTTTGAGGTTAGAATGCAGGCTTTAACAGGGAAAAACCACGCGAAGGAAAGGGAGGAAAAGGGCAAGCCAAGAAGAAAATGCTAGACAAAACCTTGGTCTTGGTCTTCCAGCCGCCAGAACTGTGAGAAAATCTCACCTGACCCGTGCCATTTATTACTGCAAACTTTAATAACTAATACAAGGGCCATGAACCAAAACAAGTGCAAGTACTCATACGATGTGAGTAACTAATGGGGCTAGCGTCCATGTGTCTGGTGAATCCCACTTTACAGCAGAGACGCATATCATGCGAACCCAATACATGATTGATATTTCTAAATGCTCAGGGACTTTTTCATTTCATAGCAATACTCCTGTATCAAAAAAAAGCAAAATTAGAGGGTTGATCACTTACTTCATTTGTCCAGTACACACGAACAGTTTCCGCAACTTCTCCTCGCAATCTGGATTACTGTTGATACATGGTTTATATGAGAAACTGACTTCAGGGGGTGGCTGCTCCATTAGTCCTTCCTGTTCTATTTCTTATGTCTAAAATTTGCATGAGTGGTTCTGTCAAAGAGAGATGGATTACTTTTTAGGCTTACAACAGTAAGTCAATCTGAAAGACTATTTAAAACACAGAAGTAAATTAAACTCCAACTTTATATGTATTTCTTCTGTTATAAATTTCCCTAAAGCTAACACCCTTACATTAGTAATATTTTATATGCAATGAAATTTACTTAAAGCAAACTACTCTGTCTCTGTAAGTAATAATGTTTGTTTGAACACTTAAAACATATAGCATTAGTTTAGAGAGAATTAAATTCATACATGTTTTAAAGTACTTAGAAAATATTCTTAATTCATGATGAATAATTGCAATTTTGCTAACTTGATAATTAGGCAGGGTGCAAACAAAATCAGAAGAACCATATTAACATGCTATTTGTTTAAGTATATACTTTCATTATTACTTGTAAATGTACAAACTGTAAGAAGATTGATATATTAAAACTTCATCTTACATCTACAATGCTTCTAAGAAAATAATTCATATGTTCATGATGTTACATTCTTCAGGATTGACCACGTATTGAAACATTTGTATTTCCTAGGTAGAACTTATTTCTCATATTTCTCTATTATCTTTTGTTGAAGTAAGTGGACATCTCAATAGCCCCTTCATCCATCTGTGCCTGCATTCCTAAAAACAAGTATCAATGAATAATAAAGTGAAACCCACACAACTTAAACCGTTGAACCTCTAAAAACCTTAAATCTTGGTGCACTTCTAGGGAGAAAATAAAACAAATATTGTCACTAAGACAATTGGCTAATAAAATAATCCAAATCAGTCTCCCACCTTTTGAGATGTCTAAGACTGATAAAACTACCCCAAAACAAAAATGATGAAAACACACACAATGTGCTTCTCAATTTTTTTGTGTACACTTGTTAAAAAGGGAATTCTGATTCAATATTTACACCAAGAGATCCAAAATTCTACATTTCTGACAAGCCTCTATGAATGGCCTTCGTTAGGAAGACCAAGGTACCCACTTTGAATAGCAAGGATCTGGAATATTTACTTTGAATAATTGACAAAATGCTTTAATTTTACCTTAAATCAAAATCTAAAAATAATTTGTAATTCTTGACATTTTAATGGGCATTTATATAGTACCTAGTTTGATCTTGACAAGGAGGACCAAAAGTGTGGTCTTCAGACCAGAGGCATCAGCGTCACCTTGAACAAGCAATGCTAACCCAAGCGATGAGCCTACATCGCCAGCGGCATTTCACGTGCTGAGGACACAGAGCCACAACCTCTCTCAACATTCCACAGGCCTGAGTGTTGGCTACAAATCTCAGTAAGATAATTGTCCTTGATTTTAAGAGTCCCAGTAACATAACATGGTTGGGCTGCTTCATCAGTAAATACCACTAACTATGAAAAAAAAAGCATACCACACACAATGTGGAAGTAAAGGTTTCCTCTCAAAGGCCAGTGCATAGGGAGTTAGCCATCTGAAGATGGTGGCGTGCATAATTAGTGCTGCATCCCGAGAGCCCAAGGTGATAGAAGACTAAGCATAAGGTTGCTTCTCAACCTGCCAATGAATAAAATACATGCTACCGTGGGCGGGCAGGGGGTGGGGACAAATTACAAAGGCGGATGTTGGCTTGCCAGGAAGGAGAACCCACCCGGTGAAGAATTTCAGTGTTTTTCTCTGGTTGCAAAACTTGAACTTCTCACCCCAGGCAATGCCAGACGCCCAACACCAGGGCTTCCAGCATTCTAGACAACCACTCTGCTGCCAGAAATCTTTCCAACGTTTGTCTGTCAAGTTAGGCCACTAAAGTGCAAAAGAGGTTAAAAAACAAAAAACTAACTCGGAATCTAGGCTAATTGACTGGTCCTATCCCCGGAGAAAGGTTAAGTGGTCGGCTTTCAACACTGTTCCCATCACATGCCTCCGAATGTAGCTCACTCCCAGCTCTTACTCCTCCGCCCCACACGGACACTCATCAAGCCAGGGCCACCGCCACCAGACTGAAACTCTAGGTGCATACCGCAATCCCAGTCGCCGGTCCCCTTTGTCTCCCTGCCGCACAGCGGCAGGCCGTCTTTTGGCCAATTTTGGCTCTCCCAGCTTCCGTAGGCCCCGCCCCCTAGCAACGCTCGGGCTTGTGTTAGCAACTGGAGCGGCGCCGGGCTCCCTGGCCGGCGTGTGGCCGGTGCAGCGGCTGCAGGTCAGCTGCTGCGTTGCCGAGGCGGGGCCCACGGCCCGGCTTTCGGGGCCTGTCGCCTCCCTAGCTCCGGCAGGGCTCGCGGCTCGCACCCGGGGCCATGTCCTCCCTGGAGGCCGCGGCCACGGCGGACGGCGCCGAGGCCGGCAGCAGGACCAAGTCCATCAGTCCCCGCACGATCCCGGTGGTCGGGGTGGTGACCCCGCACGAGGATGTGCAGGTACCGCCGGGAAGGAGCGGGGAAGGGCTCCGGGACAGCCGGGTGGAAGCCCGGGCCGGAGTGACGCAGACACGGGGGAGCGGAGCTGGTCCCCGCGGGGCTGTGTGGCTGGCCGCGAGGGGGGCTGGCTGTCGTCAGCCGACCTGCCTGGGGACTCTAGCTGCGTGGTCCGCCCGGAGAGACTGACCGCTCCTGGCCGCGTGGCCGCGACAGGAAGGAACCGTGCTTAGGGACGTGTGATTCGATAACCGGATCACCGTTTGTGACTGATGGGGTTTGTTTGTGTGTTTTTGTTTTTGTTTTTGTTTTTGTCTGTAGATGCGGGTTTGAATTTCCTTCCGCTGAAACGTGTGTTCACACTGCTGTTGCAGAGTCGGGGGCAGAACTGGTTTTCATTTTCGCGTTTGTATTTGGTCTCGGGTTTTGCTTTTATCACAGACGCAACGCCGAGCTTTTAGAGTTGGGTTAGGGGATCCTCTGCCTTGTCCCACAGTGTGTGTGTGTGTGTTTGGGGGTTGGGGAGGGCTCTGTGGGAATTCCTGTTGGGGCTTCACGAGTCTCAAGCTACGTCAGGAACTACGTCTCCTGCGTTCGCATCCCGGAGCCTTGGAGAGTTACTTGGGAGCAGCCAGTTGACCGGGGACCTCTGTGGGAATTGGATTGAGGTCTCTGAGGACAGTCATGCATTTACACAACAGCCCGCAGAGCACATGGCTTTTACATAAAGAGAGGGTGCCAGGGGGCTTTACCTCATCGGTTTTGTGGAGGTATTCCCGTACAGGAGCAGAGACGTGTAAGCCACCACAGGGCTCTCCACTCTCTGGGCTACGAGGAGGCTCAATGTTGCCAATGTATTCCTAGGCACTGAGCACTGAGAACTAGGTGAGTTCGACTCAGTGGTGTCTTTGGGGAAAGATTACAGACAAACGGGCTTACAAAGAGAAATACTTCCTATGGATTATTGCAAAAAAAAAGTGCAATTTAGGAAGTAACATACCTGTATGTGTCTTTGTGCGTGCGTGTGTGTGTGTGTGTGTGTGTGTCTGTCTGTCTGTCTGTCTGTCTGTCTCTCCCTCTATGAGTGTTCACATTTTTAGAAACTACTTTGAGGGCGGAAAAGGCAATTTCTATGCAAATAAATGGAATAGAAAACAATTTAGAATTAGAAATCTCAGTGATCTCTCACTCATCTTGAATTTTTGTTACTTTTACATTTCTTCCTCTTCCTCTTCCTCCTTCTCCTCCTTTTGGTTGTTCAACACATAGTTTCTCCATGTAGCCCTGGGTGTCCTGGAACCTGCTCTGTAGACCAGGCTGGTGGCAAACTCACAGACATACACCTGCCTCTAACTCCGGGGTGCTGGGATTAAAGGCGTGTGCCGCCACAGCCTGGCCTGCCCCTCGGTTTCTTCACTCCCTGTGAAGCCTGGTGTTCCTAGTAATACTTCAGATGATAACCTTCAGCTCTCTGCTCAAGTCAGCAGAGAAAGACCTTTGGATGCTTAATATTTCCAGTCCTCACATTAAGCTTATCGCCATGGACACTGGCACTATCATATCTCCACCACTGTCAGAACATGCCTTGATTTCACGGTCCTACAAGCTGTGCTCTGTCTGTTGACTACAAGCAAAAGTGGGCTGTTTTGAAAGGACTAGAAATAATAAGCATCCAAAGGTGTGTTTAGGGGCATTGGGGCCGGTGTGGATGCCACCGTGCCTGTGTGGAGGTCAGAGGACAGCTTGCAGGAGCGCGCGCGCGTGCATGTGTGCGCGCGCGCATGCATGCGTGAGTGTTTAGGGGCATTGGAGCCGGTGTGGATGCCACCGTCCCTGTGTGGAGGTCAGAGGACAGCTTGCAGGAGCTAGCTATCTTGTGCCACCAGGTGGGTCCCTGGTACTGAACTCGTGATCGGAGTTGGCAGCAAGTGTCTTTCACATTAAACCATCTCTCCAACCCTGTTCTGAACACTTTAAAGCACACCCTTCACTTATACAGTGGTTAGCATTTGTCAGCATTACTTGGAAGGTCTCTGCAGGAGGCAAGAGTTATGGAAAGTGCTCTCCAAACCTCCACAGGCCATCTTCCTAACCTCAGAATGGCATTAGGGAAAATGTAGAGGGTAAATTTGAAACCAGTCTTGAACAGGGAAAACAGTGGTGTAAGAATCTAGGATTTTAATTTGTATGATTTTACTTTGTTGTGATTTTCATAGATATGCTACTTGAGCATTCTAATTTAATTTTTCCTGTGTAAGAATTTTGACTATGCCCACAAGAATGATCCTTGAAGCTTTAAGAAAACTATCATTTTTTTCAGATTTCCAAACAATAAAACCCTACTAGAATTTAGTGATCAGTTTTTAATTATTTATTTCGCTTGGTGGAGTTGCTTTCCTTTTTTTAAAATTGATTTTTTATGGGTTTCATATCATGCATCCTGATCCCATTCATCTCCAAATCCCTTCATATCCACCCTCTACTCTAGCAATCTCCCCCACAAAATAAAATTTAAAAGAAATCTAAAAAAAAATCCAAACTAGCTAACATACAGAAAAAGTCTTGTGTTCTTCATCTGCCTTTTTCCTACAATCATTAGGAAAGATTTGCAAGGCATTTAGCACCATGGCTATCAGTCATATTGTAAGGATCCATGTGGTCTTATTGATGATCTAATCATGACAGCTATCCTTTCTATTTTTTATTCTTATTAAACTCTGATGATGTTTACAAGATAACTAAGCCTTGTGAGGTTTGGTGCTGTGGGGTTATTTTTCTAGAAATAGTTCCAGTGCTTTTGGCTCTGTTCATCTACTGGAAGGTAGGGACATTGGGCAGTAAAGATAAAGCCCTTGTTTTCCGAGGAAGGAGATAGAAGAGCAATGCAGTTTTCCTTGCTCGAATGGAACTCAGGAGCACGTAGCTGATTACCCTTTGTCTATTTCAGATCTAGTTTAATGCCCACCTCGTTCTAAAGAATTACACATCCCCCTTAGAACAGACCTTCTTAGACTCCGTGTGTGCATGAAGAACCCGGGATCTTATGAAGTGCAGACTGGATTCTGCAGTTCTGGGCTGCATCTTGGTTTCTCCTTTCCTAGCAGATTTCCAGGTAATGCTGGTGCTGCACGTTAGGTGAAGGACCCATTTCCTGTTCTGAGTAGCAACTCTGTGCATCATACTAGCAGGATGGTATAAACAGCGATACGGAGTTTCATAACTAATTCCTGGAAAGCTTGCCAGAAATAGTTTCCTGTGTTTGCACTAATAAAACAATAACAATGAAACACAATTCCAGCCCTCCCCCAACCAGATCAGATAATGTTCTAAAGAGTAAGCGGCTGCAAGTGGCACTTCAAAAGACTTGCTGGGTCTCCTTTTCTCTCTCTCCACAGAGCATCAGTCCCAGATTGTCAGTCCTTTTCGCCTGTCCATTGGCTCCCATTTATTCTCTGCCTGATCTGTTGTCATGAGGTGGCATTTCACACTTAGTTATGTGTCTTCCTCCCCAGACACACCTTCAGTTCCTTTCAGAATACTGTTGCTTACCACAACAAATAAAATTGCCTTGAAATGGTCCCCAAACCTAGATGGCCATCAAAATCTTCTGGGGAGCTTTTGGGAAATATCTGGGCCCTACTGCATGTTTAGTCAGATATAACCACCAGTGTGGAGCCTTAAAGTGTTCCCTCAACCCCCACTGAAGCACCAGAACCCTGAGCTGCTGCTGTCTAAGCTCAATGCTGGCCCTGGGAAGCCTGGGTTCCATTTCTCTACATATATCTGATGCACTGTTTAACTTCACCTCCACGAGGGCAGAATCTTACTTGTCTTTTTCTGCAGTATTTTTAGTGTGATGCCCAGTGCAATACCTAAACACATAGGAGCTGATCTTCTCTTCTTGTGGATTTCTGTAACGTTAGCCTATCTTCAGGTCCCACATTTCTTCTACTAGACGTGTTTTCTGTTCATTTTCATCCTCATTTGTCTATCTCTATAGGAGTGGAACAGTTCTAGCTTTGGATCCTGCAACTTCTTATGTAGTTATAGCTTATTTTATGTTTGTCATTGCTTCATTTTTAGATGATTTCCATTAGATTATATCCTCACGGGTAGGAAATGTATCTTCATCGTTTCCTGCCTTTCCCTGAGCTCCTTTCCTCTTGGTTCAGAGGAGATGCTTAAGTCCTAGCTTATATGCTCCCTGTACTCCAATCACTGTGACCTTCGGCTCTTCAAGCTTGCCAAGAGTTTTCACTTTCTGTGTCCCCTGCATGAACATTATCCCTTCCTTCGTCACAGCTTGCTCTCTCACCTCCTCGAAGACTTTGCTGAAATGGCACTTGCTGAGAATCAGCCCTTTGCTAACTACCGAGTGTGAAATTATACTTCTCAAGCAAGGCAGTGCTTTGTAACCGTTTAATTTTCTCTAGAAGATTGTCATCATACCCTATACTATAGAACTTACTGACTTAATGCCCTCCGTAGCATATAGCTTATGCCTGTTTAGCACCTAGATAAATACCTGACACAGTGTGGAGGCTCAACATTGTGCTTGTGATTAGTTGTCTAATTTACCCCAAACTTCCAGTTACTACTACACTGAACCCATGATTCAGAAGCCTATGCCCAGGCTTCATCAGGTGTCTCGGTGCTTACACCATACTGCAGGTGAAATATAATAAGCATTGTTATTCAACATGGGAAATAGGCCGGGTGGTAGTAGCACACCTTTAATCCCAGCACCCGGGAGGCAGAGGCAGGTGGATCTCTGAGTTCAAAGCCAGCCTGGTCTGTTGCACAAAGAAAACCTGTATCAAAAAAAAACTTCCTGATTACCAAACTGTTTGTTAATGGTAAATTTAACAATTTAACAGTCACAGTTAACAATTGGGAGATTTTCCAAGGCCCCACCCCTGGATGAGGAGCTACTGGCTATTGATGGGATTTAGAGTCACTTTTCTCTGAGGGGTGGCCCCTGGCAGGTGGCCCATGCCTGATTTAGTAACCTCACAGCTTGTTCGTACATGTGGGTGGCTTTAGATGGACTCAGCAGGTTATAAAAATAAGAGAACTGGAAGCAGGAAGGAGGTTACCGTGGGGAAATGAGGGCTGGGAAGGTGGAGAGAGGGAGTGGGTGCATATACCAGTAAGATGCACTGTATGAAAATTTCAAAGAACGTGTGCGTGCTTGACTTGATTTCTTTATGACCCTGGGGTGGAATAATAAGAGCTGTGTGTTTCTAGGGCATTTTCAAGTCTATGGACCTTAACCGCATCATCAAACTGCTCGAAGAGAATGATAAGGTGAGTAACAGTGGAAAAGTTACTTCTCTATATCACTTAGAAACTCATATTCCCCTGAACAAGAATAGACATTCCCTCTAATGTAAATATTGTTTGTCTCTTTTGTTGAAAACGTTTCCCACACGAATGTTTTATATCCAAGGAATTTAAAGTTAGTATGAGAACCAATCATAAGAGGGTCAAACCTAACCGTGTTGTCTATAATCAGAGGACCAGCAAGAACAAAGAAAGGACTCTCTGGGGTTAATACCTTAAGAGTAGAGAAAGAGCCACATATCCTGTGCTAAAATGCTTGCCAAGTAGGACTACAGAGGAGATATTGGAGCATAGGGACACTGAAGAACCATCGAAAATTTCTGAGTCAAGACATGCAAACAGATTTATACATAGACATAGATGATTTGTTCTGAGAAAATGAGAATGCAAAGAAAATAACTTTTTATAAGACTCAAAATGTATTGGGAAAAGATATAGTAACTGTGTAAGCATACATGTTCACACACATCACTCTCCTATGGTTGCCCAGGTATTGGTAAGTGCCTCAGAGCTAGCACTCACTGTGGAATTACCTGTAGTCATTTTCAAAGATGAATGCATATTTTTAAATCATAGAAAATAGATTGACTCAGGTATAGTCACCAAAACAAAGTAACAGCCTCTGATTAGTAAACAAAAACATCTAGCTATTGCTTTAACATTTTTAGTCTCCACTTTTTTTAGAGAAAGAAAATAACCACCAAGAGTAATTTATCTTTTGATGACTGGTTTTTGTGAAGTTTAAGTGTTTAGATTGCAAGTATATCCACATTTTAAAAACCCACAACTATGTAGAGTTCCTATTAGTTGTTTTTGTTTTTGAAGGAAGAGTTAGAACAGTTTAATTTGAAAGACGGTAGAGGCAGGCAAGATAGCTTACTAGGTAAAGGCATTTGCTATCAAACCTGACTACTTGATTTCAATGCCCAGAACCCAATGGTGGAAGGAGAGAACAAACCCCTGAATGTTGTCCACTGATGTCCTCAATGTGTGCCATACAATGTACACACACACACAATAAGTAAGTGTGAGATAAGAGGAGAACAGAGAACACATATTAGGGTTTTGTTTTTAGTTGACACACGAGTTTTGAAAACACATTACTGTGTAGTGGCATATTAGCTATACCAAAAGTCTATGATTCAGTGAACTTCTATACAGTCAGAGTTGACATTCAGAACAGAAGCTGTGAAGTTTCACATAACATTTTGTTTCAGTTTTTAGCATATTTTATGCATTTAGTCATAACCAAAGCAAAAAGTCTATTACAAACTACTAGAAAAAGTTTGCTTTATTTCCTCTTTGATAACGCATATCCATTACTGAATTCATTTCTTCCTTACCCTCTTATATTTAGCCTTTCTTGTTCTCTTTTCTTTATGTGATACTGTATCCATTTGCTTTTTATGTAAGAATTACTTGGTACTTTTAATCTGTTTATGCACTGAATAAAAATTTTAAAACCTTAACCAATTTAATGGCACAAGTGAACTAACAGACCATTTGTTTTAGGATGACTTAGAAGAAAAACAACTTAATAGTGTCACAAAACTGGTACAATATTATCAGAATGGATTTGTATCCTTTATGTATGTATGTGCATGTTCATTTGATTCATCTGGAAACACTAGAAAGTGTTAACAAGGTATCACAAACCAGGTAAGTTTATATCTGATAGTCTTATAGACCAGAAGAGACCAGAAGCCCAGAGTTCATCTTACTTGGCTAGGGTCAAAGTGTCAGCAGGGACTGGCACTCCCGAGGATTCAGGAGGGAGGTGGGGGTCCATTTCCTTGACTTTCCTACCTCCTACAGGCTCCCTGCAGACCGCTGGCTCATGAACTGGCGCCTCCCAGTGGCATCACTCTCACCTCTGCTGCATTATAGCATCTCAAACCCCTGCCTCTTGCACTCCTGTCTCCCATGTCCCCTTCTAAGGATCCTCATGGTTACAACTGAGCCTGTCTGGGTAATCTAGTATGACATTCCTGTCCTCATTTGCTTTTGTTTTCTATGATAAGAATGCCGTGACTAACAAAGCCATTGGGGATCAATGGGTTTATTTAGATTAAAGTTTACAGTCCATCATGGAAGGAAGTCGGGCAGGAACTCAAGGCAGAAAGCTGGAGGCAGATCATGAAGGAATACTGCTTACTGGCTTGCTTCCGTGGCTTGCTACCTTTTTTGTGCAACTTAGGACCCACACTTAGAGGTGGCATCACCCACCGTGGATTAGTCAAGAAAATGTCACACAGACTTGCCTACTGGCTAGTTTATGGAGGCAATTCCTTAGTTGGGGTTCCTTCTTCCCAGAGGACCCTATCTTGTGTCAAGCTGACAAAAACTAACTAGGACAACTTCTTTTTAAGATCCTTACCTACATTTGAAAGTCTGTTTACCATTTAAGGTAGCCTCTTCAAAGGTTCTCGAGATATGAGTATCATTGAGGAGGCCATCATTCTCTCCATTGTATTGTTATTATCTATGGATAATGTCAATTCCTATAGATTCGAAGGCTATTAATATGGTTAGAAGGGTCAAGTCAGTCTTACTTCTGCCAGTATGCATAGTGAGTTTCACCTTGATTACCATCTTACTGTTTCTTTCCTTAAATAAAATAGGAATGATCCCACCTCATTAGGTTATTAAGAAGATAATGAGATAATAGCTCCTTATCACAACAGGTAGAAACCAGTGTTCAAACCTTAACACTATCTGTTTGTGTGTAATAACCAATTTAATGCTGGTGTCTATTTTTTTTTCGGTTTTACGAGACAGGGTTTCTCTGAATTGTTTTAGAGGCTGTCGGTCCAGCCTGGCCTCGAACTCACAGAGATCCGCCTGCCTCTGCCTCCCGAGTGCTGGGATTAAAGGCGTGCACCACCACCGCCTGGCTTATTTTTTTTTAATTTTGTATATAGACGATTTGCAAAGTATAACAGCAGTTTCATAATTATACTAGATTGTTACACATGTCTTGAAATGTCTGCTCTCAAGCCAGGTGTGGTGACTCATACCTATAACGTCAGCACTTAGAAGGTAGAGAATCAAGAAGCCAAAGTCAGCCTCCATACATAGTAAGTGCGAGGACAGCCTGGGCTAAATGACACCCTGCTTCAAAAGCTTTCTTTTTCTGACCTTATCTGTCATAGACTTGTAACATAGAACTCCAGAGCAAATGTCCATAGACGCCACTTCGGGTAGAAATGAACTGACTCTTTGCTGACAGTTGTCTGATTTTGGTCTAAAGATATCCATCTAATAATAACTTGTTCCGGCCCAAAGCATCTTAAGCCTTCCACTAAGAGATGTGTACACATCATATAAGTATTTTCTTTGTAGTCGCCTTGTTTTATGAGGATATCTGTTAGAGCAGTCTGAGATCTTGTGTATATTAAGTACTACTTATTGGTACCGAGGAAATTCTACTAGAAAGTGATTTTTTTCCTTGTTTAATTTGGCAACTCAGCACCTCCATCATTGTTTTTCCTTAGGGGTAGACAGTTGGTAGCAAGTAACTCTATTTCTGAACACTTTAATAGGATGGCTTTAGGTGTTGTAAGACTTTAAATTAGGGAGTATCACCTCCCTAGGAAATTGTTATGAGACTTTTCCTGCGGTGATGTGAACACATTCCTATTTACTTAGATATCACTGATAACAGACCAAAGGAATGATACTACCTAGGCTAGCTTAGTGAAGCACCTACATAGCACTGATGACAGATCAAAGGAATGGTTCTACCTAGTCTAGCTTAGTGACCCAGTGAGTCTGTTGTGGGTACTTGCAGAAGTAGGCACCAGCAGTTGCTTACCAGGATAGATGGCTCAGAGGCAGCTGCCACACTGAAATGCCCACCCCATCTTGAGTGATGACTCATAAAGCTTCATCGTTGAAGCTTCCTGAATAGCTTGCAGGCAGCTTGCCAGTTACAGAATCTCCAATTCCCAGCAGTTATGTAGCTGTAATGCAAAGTAGGAGAGGGACTTTATGAATCTTGGAAGTTTCTGCTTTTTTTTTTTTTTTTGGTTTTTACGAGACAGGGTTTCTCTGTGTTGTTTTAGAGGCTGTCGGTCCAGCCCAGCCTCGAACTCACAGAGATCCACCTGCCTCTGCCTCCCGAGTGCTGGGATTAAAGGCGTGTGCCACCACCGCCCGGCAAGTTTCTGCTTTCTAAAAATTGTTTAGTTTATTTCCTGAGTCTTAGGAACCTCTGTCCTTTTTCTAGGAGAGAATGCTTCAATTAGAAGGAAATTTCTACATGGCATTGCACCCCTTCCTCTAGCTCTTATGGTCTTGCTGCCTTCCCTTCTGCATTTTTCCCTGCGCCTTGGAGAGGGTGATACAGATGTTTGATTAGTTTCCTTCATCTGCTGCAGAGTATTGAGCAACTATGCCTGAGCAATAGTCAAGTGATCCCAGAAGTTTGATGTTTTATGAGTCTCTGAAGTACAACACCTAATGCAAAAGAAAGTTTCCCTTTTTGACTGAAGCTGACATCTACGGGCATAATCAGAAGTGTTTAGAAGGTGATTTAACAAGCAGATTCCATCTATTTAACAAGACAGTAGTAGTTTTATCCCCCATTGAAACCTCTGACCTCTTCAGCCATGGGCTTTCTACTTGGCTGTCAGTTCCCAATGTGGATCTCTTCTATGGAGGAGGCCTTAAAAAGAAACAGAAGCTGGTTGCATCCATAACAGCTGTGCCCCTATTGCGTTAATGAGTGTATTTTCCACAGAATGTTGGTATTGTAGTACTTGCAGTGTGTATAGCTAGGGAGGACTGTTGACAACAGTTCTCCTTTTGCAACCTACATAGTGCCTCTGGCACTACAAAAGCAAGCTAGTAGGGAGAAAGTTTCCAGTTTAGTCTCAGTTTGATTTCTTCATGTCCTGTGACCAAAGCATATAGTATCCTCAACAATAGGGACTTGCTCTTTAATTCTTGCATGCAAGCAGCAGCAGTGGCAATAGCTTTTATGGTTTTGGGCACTTTGGGAAATCTCCTTGGCCAATAACTCACAAGAAAGTAACCTACCCCTTCACTAGGTTTCATTTAATAACCTTATGACTTTGGGAAATGGCTTTTCTTTTCTTTCTCCTCTCTCTCTCTCTCTCTCTCTCTCTCTCTCTCACTCTCTCTCTCTCTCTCTGTGTGTGTGTGTGTGTGTGTGTTTTTCATCCTTTACATTCACTCAAAACAGTGTTCTGGATTATTTTAATTCTAATAATATGTTACATGTGAATGTTACATTAGCTATAGATAGACAAAAGTGAAAAGGGGACATATTCAATCATAATGGCTAACAGTTGTGATATGATCCAGGAGTTTCTTCCTTAATGGATTTACTTCCTATTCTTTCCTGGAAATTATTGTCTTGCCTGCTACCCAGTCCCATCTACAGCTTCAGTCAAAGTCTCTGTCTGGAGCCTGGAGCTGCCGCTGTTGCCTCTCCCTCAAGTCACCCAGGAGTATTGTTATAGGTTCAGGACAGGCAAATGATTTTTCCCCTAGTGTACTGTTTACAAGAGAGAACTGTACAGTTTAATCTGGAGGCGTAATTGTCTGCCTCCCGGAATAAGCTTAGTCTTTTTTCCCCCACTAGTTCAGAATCTATTCATCTACAACATGGCACATTTAATGAGACCATGAGTGAAACAACGAAATATATATATATATATATATACATATATATATATATATATATATATACACACACACACATTATCTCCTAACAGAGAAATATCTGAGTTTTAATTTTAATGATAGCTATTAGCTATTTTAAAATATTATTGGGGACTTTAAAATAGCAATAGATTGATTTGGAGTGGTGACACTTTTTGCAAGACAAATTCATCTGTATGACTACATCAGTCTTGATCATCTTCTTGTAGTATGGCGGGCTGCTGCTCTGAGATCAAGAAGGAAGGAAGGAGCTGCATGAGGACTGTAAGACATCTGCAGAGCTTTCCCTGCCAGCAAAGTTCACCTTCATTCAGTACAAGCTTAACCTTTTGCATCTTAGTTGTTTTATACCTTCTATGAACTTTTTTCAGATTTTAAGGCCTTCTAGGAGTTTACCAGCATAGAATTTAGCTTCTGTAAGTTTTCTGTTAGGAACTCTGGCTGGACACGAATCTTGCGACATTTGATCTGGAGTGACCTAGGTGTACTAGTTAGATCCTTTACCCTTAGTCTGCCTCTTCTTTCATCTCCTCCAGGGTTTGTTATTTTGTCTTTACAGCCTTGAGTAGCAGGCCAGACCCTACTAGTGTGCTGATGTAGGTCAGATTCACCAGGGCCTCGGCAAGATCGTATCATCTCTATAAACATAATCAGTAAGATCATATTCACCATAGGGCTCAGCAAGGCCTCACGAGGTCCCTCCTGAAACAGCCTTTCTAAAACATTAGTCATCAAACACGTTTCTACCTGGCCTGGTGACCTAGTCACTGGATCTCACCGTCCTCACACTCAGTCCCCATCTCTTCACTGTCTTCTAGTTCCTGGTATTGGTGGGAACTTGAGCCAGCAATAACCAAGTGTTCCTAATTGCACATGAGTCAGGCCACAAGGAACTGGTTCTCTTCCCCTTGCCTGAGATTGTGCACCCTTTTTCCTCCAAGAGGGATAGTCACATTACTCAGCTACACAGCCATGCTACTCGGGCTGAACCCATCCTCTCCCACGTCCCACAGCCCTGTGAACCAGACTGTGGCAGGCTCTGTTATTGCTCATTTAAAAGAATTTCCCAACTCAAGCAGTTCTGGTGCTGAGTAGACACAGTTACCATGCTTCTTCCTACTGGGCCTTTAGTAAGACTCCTGTCTACATGTTAATTGATGGGGTTTCCTTCTGTGTCAAAGGTGAGATCTGAGGAATGTCTTCTATCATGCCCACCGTGCTTTCTTCCTCGCTGTCCATTGTTAAGGCATGTGAAATCATGGGTTCCCCTTCTTCTCTAATAAAGGTCAAACCCAAGGGATGCCCTTAGTTACTTCCGCCATGTCCTTCCTTTTTAAGGCCCATAGATGTATCTTGGATCATGGGTTTTCTCTTCATTTCTATGAGAACGCAACCCTGAGAGATATCTTCTATCACATCTGCTTTGTTCGTGTCCTCATCGCCGCTGGATTCTTCCCACAAGTTCTCAGCTTCTGGACCTCAGGAGAGGCTTTCTAGTACAGCTCTAACTTATGCTCTCTTTCCTGTCTATCATCATGACTTATGGCTCTGGTTGAATCCTGTCAATTCTAGCTGCTTGGTAGGAGCACTGTAGAAACTGTCCACCAAATCAGAGGTTAATGTGGAGGATAATAGTTGCATATCCCTTCCCATTGCTAGTCCTCCTTTAAAACAAGCATTTTCCTTTAAGCAGCTGTGTCTGCCTTATTTGCACATGTTACTATATATAGCAGTGGACGTGCCAAGGTCAGCACAGCTTGCTGACAGTCTTTTGTCATGTGTGCTACTCTCGGGGGACTGCCATGCAGTCTCTACTCCTTGAACTGTTGTTAGAGGGTCTACATACTTTTGCAGTGGATGCCATTCATCAAGGAGACAGACCACTCCTATGACACATAAAAGAAGATGACCAAATTTGGATTTCCTCCTGCAAGAGTGTTCCATTCTGAGACATCTCAGCCCTGGCTGCATGTCCTATCACACACTCAGGAAGCATGCAACCACCACTACAACAAGGAGGCACACCATCCCTTAGCACGTGGAGAAAAGCACCCATATTGGGGTGTCCCCCATGGACTCTGCCTTCAAACTGATTAGCCACAGATGCATGTCTCATCACACTTTACAGGGACCATACAATCACTCTGCCCCAACTCATCTTCACTTCTGTCTGTTCCTGTCCAGACACCAATCGTGTTAAATGATTTTTCCTGAAGAGACACGAACAGAACCTATTTAACTCAGATAAATCACTGATGACAAACCAAATAAATAGTTCTACCCAAGCCTAATTTAGTGACTTTATTGGGGTTACTTGCAGGACTGCAGATGACTCAGAGAAAGCTGCATTACTTAAAAAACAGACTCCATCATTAATGACAATGAAAATTAAAAAACTACATCCTTGCAATGTGTATGCACCTCCTCTCATAAATGACAGTGTGTAACTTTTTTTAAATTCCTAACGCCGCCGGGCGGTGGTGGCGCACACCTTTAATCCCAGCACTCGGGAGGCAGAGGCAGGTGGATCTCTGTGAGTTCGAGGCCGGGCTGGACCGATAGCCTCCAAAACAATACAGAGAAACCCTGTCTGGTAAAAACAAAAACAAAAACAAAAAAATTCCTAACGCATATGGGCCTCTTCTCCCAGTAGGCATGGATGTTTCAATTCAGAGGTGATTGCTACATAACAGAAGTTAATAGAGGCATTCCCATCCCTGCCTAAGAAGCTCACAGCAAAAGTAGACAGAATTGGATGCAAGTCAGAGCCTGAAGTCATAACCACCAAGATCTCTTAGCTATCAATCAAAATCAATGAAATTTAGTTTTGTGATGATCTTGCTTTTTTAAACAGGCAAAATAGATTTGTTTTTTTTAACCTGAGATCTAGAAGGAGGACATTTTGCTTTTATGTGAGTTTTAAATGTAATAAAAACCCAGCCAATTTAATGCTAATTAGAAAAAATGCATCTGAACAAAATGAAGTAGTGCATTAAAAAGACTTGAGCTGTGTTTGTTTATGTTGTGGGTTGAAATAAAGGTTACTGAGATGAAAAATATATTGCTAAAATGGTTATAAGCTGCTGGCTATAAGTCTTTAGACTTCAAAATAATAATTAAAATAATGCTTACCACATTTAACAAGATAGATGGACTTTCATAAGCTTTCTGGGGAAAGGCCTATAGAACTGTGTTTATAAATTGATGCTGATTTTATTTCTTAACGAATACTGAAGCCTCTAAGGGACCTGGCACAGGTGTTTAAAATCCTGGGTCTGTGCGCAGATAAAATTGAAAAGCAGCCCTGCTTTGTGGATCCTGCGTCTGACCTCATAAAACTGTGTGGGTGAGTTATTTAACTTTACTTTGTTCAGCTGTATGTTACATTATGCTTTATTCTGTTTTACAGAGGTATTGGATATATAGTGTATCAATAATAAAGAGTTCAGTTGAGCAGGTGGCACACACCTTTAGTTTCAGCACACAGTGGACAGAGGCAAGAAGATCTCTGTGAGTTCGAGGCCAGTCTGACCTACAGGGCGAGTTCCAGGACAGCCAGGACTTCACAGAGAAATCCTGTCTGGAAAAATTGTGTGTGTGTGTGTGTGTGTGTGTGTGTGTGTGTGTGTGTGTGTGTCTATGTGTATCTGTGTGTCTGTGTCTGTGTGTCTGTGTGTGTCTGTGTGTGTGATATAGAGCTAAGAAGCAAAGCCTAAACAAGTTGGCGACAGTATTTGGGTAGTTATTTCAAATATTGCCATCTCAGGCTGCTACAGAAGAGATTACATTGAAGTATAAAATGCTTCCTTTTAAGTAGTTACTGTTTCGTGATTATTAAGCAATGGATGAAGCCAAAGGACTGTAGTTGTTAAATAAACTTAGCATTACTTAATTTCAGTATGGTTTTCTTTGGGAAATTTGACTCTCACAAATACATCAAGTTGCCATGTTGCATTTGATTTTGTAATTTTAAATGAGAGGATATAAACTAAAGGTAAGGGTTATAAAATTAATATTCCTTCTGCACTACTGTAGTTTCCACAGGAGCTCTGGAAACCACACACACACACACACACACACACACACACACACACACACACACACACACACACACACGATGCTACTTTGCTGCCACATAGTGGCTTCTCTAGACATATGTTTAATTCACTGCATTTCAGGTCACTGTCAGCCTAAAAAGCTTCTTAGTTGGAAATGAATCAGTGAGGCAGTTTTGTCTTCTAAACCTGTCTACCAATTTAATGTTTTGAATAACAAAGTGACACTATTAGGATGACTTTGTATATATACAGGGACATTCAAGTCTTAGATTTAGCAGCAGTAAAATAAAAAAATTCTGGAGCAATTTTGGTACTATACTAAAACAATGAAAAATAATTTACCAAATGCTTATGCTTGATCTTTGTATAGAGATGGTACAAATAAGGAAATAAATGCTTTTTCTAGTGCTTTCAAGGAACTAAGTATACATTTTCATGTCGGCATGTGTGGATGCTGTGCAGGTCCTAAGGACTGCGTTCACCGTATCACCTCCAGTGTCCTGGCTCTGTAGAGCGGGGTCTCAGTCTGTGGAATGTCTCACCATGTAATGTTACAAATCTTTCCAACTATGTTCTTCCCTTCCCCTCCTTTTGAAGTTATTCCCATTATTATTTTTACATTTCAATTTTCCACCTATATTCAGCATTTCACTGGCCCAATCCTCACTTGATTGTCTTTTCAAGAAAATTTTAAGATTAAAAAATTGAAGATACCTCAAGCTTTTCTTCTTTGGTCTCTAATAAGCTTTTTCATTGTACCAGGAGCACATCTTATTTTCTACATAGCCTTTTGGGTTGGACCTCCCCTACCCAGTTACTTTATCTTATAGTAATCTCCTTTGGTAAAAAAAAATTTTTTTAATGGGACAAGATATGTAGGGTTCGAGTTTTGAGATCTTTAGCTGTCCATCAGTAGACTAGATGATAGTTTTGTTTCAAATTTCATTCTAAAGGAATAAGAATGAGTCCCCATAGAAATTATAAAAGTGTCTTTTTGCAGCTTGCCTTGATATACTTTTAAATTCAAATTAACTTCTGTAGTCTATATCCACACATAATAATTCTCAATGACACTTCCAACTATTTGGTGTTTTTGAAAGATGTGATTTGGAAGTCATTTGTATAAATACATTATACTTCAAAAAGTAAGGAGATTCAAGCGTTTTACATTTTGTTTTAAGAAGCAACTTTTGTATATCCCTTGAAATTTAGAATGACTCACAATTCATAAGCTTGATCGTCTATGATTTATAAATAAATATTTTCAGATAACTTTGATTATAGTAACAGATTTGTGATTCTAATATAATTAAATTTTTAAAGTTGCATTCCTTATTGTTCCCCAAAACATTCTTTTCATTTGTGAATTAATTCCTAATCCCGTTGATAAGGAGGGACACTGATCTTTGTAAAGAAATACACCATTAATCTGGTACCTCCCTCTTTACAAACTTCAGGAAAAGCCGTTAAACCTATTTTTAAGTTTTAGTTGTGTCTGTCTTCCTAACTGTGATTACAACTATAGTTCACTATGACTTTGCCCTCAGAAAGATGATTTGTTAAGTGTTTTATCAACACTGATGGAAGATTACTTTCTTGATTCATGTCTGTCTTCATTCTTATAAAAGCGCTTTGTTTCGTTTTTCTCTGTGATTGGTTAGTTAGAAATACAATTTTCTTTCTGACTGCTGTCAGAGCTCCACACAAAAGAATAAGATAGGCTAGGAGAAAGTATCACTTTATTCTTTAGAAAATAAACATTTCCCCTTTTAAAAGTGATGCATCAGTCAAGGAATCTATTAAACATTTCTCTGACATTCTTTGTTCTTATTGAAGCTTGCCATTTTTGAAAAAGAAAGTATCAGATGAAATAACCTATACTGAAGATACTGCTAACTCACTTGCACTTCTGGGTAAGTTAAAATTTCTTGGATGGAGAATATAAGATGTAGGACAATGTGGGGAAATGGGTGTGCCTGCTTTCACTGTTTCCTTAACAGTATCCTCGACACCAAGGCTCCTCCCATATTTTATATTGAGAGTTATCACTGTGTGCTCAAGATGTTTTCTACTGAGGTGTTCAAGACTGGCTTTTACTTCTCTGTGAATATTTGATTTGATGTATAGTTTAGTTATGGGTTCGTTAATCCCCCTTAGTGCTTTGAGAGGTTCATACATTTTTTGATCCTATCCATCCCTCACCCAACTCTTCCTAGATCTAACCCCCGACTTTATAGTGTACTTCTGCCCATGGAGACCAATTTGTGCTGCTCAAATATTCTTGAATGTGGCTCTTTCAATGGAGCCTGCACTCTTGGAGGGACCAGTCCCCCTCCACCAAAGCAATTAATGGCCAGTAGCTGCATAGCTAGGGGTGGAATTCCACTCAGTCTTCATTTAGTAATCATAAAAACGTTGTCACATTTGGGCTCTTATATTGAGTTGCTGAAACTCAATATAAGAAGTACTGTTGAGTACTTCCTTGTTCACTGTATACCCCAAACTCTTAAATAAAATCAAATATGAAAAATGTCATATGAGTATGCATATATATATATATATATATATATATCTGGGTTTTTATTGTTTAGAAATAGGAAAATAACTTCCTAAAAAATGAGATCATATGAAACACTTTCTGATAATTGGTCCCTGGGACATGATGATATATTCTCAAACAAATGTTAAGCTAAATTTACAGTTACTGATTTAAGTCGTTATTTGTAAAAGTAAAATAATAGGTAAATGATTGATAAACTGTTAAAGCTATTTGCCCAAGTTGTTTTCTGAGTACTATACTCCATACAGTTTTTCAACTAAAGTGAATAAAAAGCATTTTGTTTTTAACATTAAATATTACTTATAATTCTTTTATGCCTAAGTTTCATCATCTTCAACTGTAGTTACTCAGAGTAAACTTCCTAATTTCATCTCAAACATTAGAGGAAAATATCGCAAAGACTAGAGTAAATAAGGAGAGTAAAGGAACCCTTAAGAATCAGGCAGTCTCAGAAGAAAAGTTAGTGGAAAAGTTAAATCCAAAGCTATTCTACAAAATGACATGCTAATATTAAAAAATAGAAGTTTTGTTCTAGAGTACCACCTCTTAGAGAATTGGCAGACATTTTTATAACAATACATGACCAGTCATCAGATTATTCTTTGCTTAGTGACAGTCGGTCACTAAAAGTACATTCCTGTGCCCCTGAGGACAGTATGAGTTCTTAATTTCTTATGAATTCCCTTCACTGGTTAGGTAGTGTACTACTGCTCTGTCCCATGCCTTTTTTAATTGCTGGAAACATGAAGCAAATGAAAATACACATACACAAAATGAGGTGTTAAATAAAATATATTCATGACCAGTACTAATAAATCCCAGGTTCTACCATGTATTGATAAGTGATATTGCAATTTCTTCTAAATGATATGTAGCTGTTTCTGACTCAGGAGAAGATTCTGGAACTAAATGGCAGGTTATTTAGGCAGATACTCTGCCCTAAAATAAACAGCAGAAAGCTGTAGAAATATTCCTAATTTGTAGTAACTGAAAAGAGAGAGAAGCAGATGTGAAACTGAGAGTTTCCCATACTTACGTTTGGTAGTTTATTCTTCTTGCCCGTTGTCGTTGTTAACACACACACACACAGTGACATTCTAACTCCAAATGAAGCTCCAAACATGTTTGTAAGGAGTTATCATTGACATTATTAAGGGACAGCTCTCTTGAGGAGACAGTGCTGAGGCAAGAATGAGGCCTGCATTGTGCTCCACCCCATCTCCATGCTCCCTCACCCCCCACCCCCCAACCCCCCACCCCCCCACCCCACCCCCACCCCCCGGTCAGTGCTCCCTCACCCACTAGCCACTCCTGCTGGAAGTGAATGTTATAGCCTTTATGGGATTCTTTACTCTCTTATACTCAGAGAATCCAGCCTGGTCCAGTTTATTCCTCAAGCTGACTCTAGTTGTCCTGAAGCATCCAGATTGGCAAGGGTCATTGCAGAGTTCCACAGATTATCTTCAGATCCTCCTGAGGAACATTCTGTTTTCTTCTTCTCTCTTATATTACATCCCAACCATAGCTTCCCCCTCCTTCCCCTCCCCCCCGCCTCCCCCACCTCCCCTCTACCCCAGATCCACCTCCCTCTGCATCTCCTCAGAAAAGAGCAGGCCCCCTCCTGGCGAACATTCTTGTTGGACATCAAAGGGGTGAATGCAGTCTAGCTTGAATTATTGAATTTACTAAATTGAACTCTGTAATAGCATAGATACAACTGAAAAAGAAACACTATGTCCTCATCCTTACCCAGAAAACTTGAAATAGAGTTATTACGTTTGAGTTAAAGAATGCCCTGAAATTCCTCTCTTTCAGTCTGCCAGCAAATGAGAGTGAAGTTAATAAGGAATGTTAAGAAAAGAATGCACTATGAATCACAAGTCTCTGAGTGTAGCTAGGAAGGGTAATAACCTATATTTGTCAACAGTAACTGTCACACATAGCACTTAACAATGAGCTAACCATTGCTCTCAGCCCCGTCTCGTGTGAAGTCAATCTTTACAGCCCTCTTAAATGTAGTAACTGTTAAGCCTGCTTTACAGTTGAAAAATTCAAATGCTAGTTTACACACTCTTTTTAAATTTTTATTTTTAAATTTAAATTTAAATGAGAAACAAGGTTGCTTCACATACCAATTCCAGGTCCCTCTCCCTTTCCCTCCCCTCCTCCCACGCCCTCCCACCAACCCCTCCAATATCCCCTCATTTCCCCAGGGAGGGTGAGGCCCTCCATGGGGGTGTCCATAGTCTGTCATTTCATCCAGGGCAGGGCCTAGACCCTCCCTTGGGAGTCCAGGGTAAGAGTGCATCTCTCATTGTTGGATGGGCTCCCAAACTCAATTTGTATACTCGGGATAAATACTGATCTACTTTTAGTATGTAGCAGAGTCAGAATTTATTCTTGGATGGTCTGACTCCAGTATTATTATTATTAGTGTCATTTGGTTCTGTCCAGAAATGGCAGGCTGAAATGATTGAGGTACCAAATATATAAGGATGGATTCAAAGTATTATATAGACACATATGTACATGTGCGTGTATGTTCACATATGCCATATCACTTCATTTTATCCAACACTAGAACATAAATAAGATGGTGGTCCTATAAATCTTTCATCAAGCCACAAAGTTATAGCATCTATTGTTGTTTGTGGTGACGGCGATAGAAGCAACCCTCCATTGACAGTTGCATGAAAATACAGCAATACAGTTGTGCACAATGCATAACACTTGATAAGTGGCTGTGTCCCTAGTTTAAGTATTTACTATATTTTATCATTTAGATAAATAAATGTACTTTTTACTTGCTATTTTTAAATTAACTGTCAAACAATAACTGTTTGCCAGCAGCAACATCTTGCATTCACTATGTATCTCAATTGCTTTGTTTCTTGTGCTTAATTTAATATCATGTTTGTGTAAGTAAACAATATGTTATTCATATAAAAGTAACACCTAACAAGGAATTTCCCAGAAAATACCCCCATATGAAGTGGTACATGACTATGGTACAGTGTGTGTGTGTGCATATATACATGATCACACATGTAATTATAAGACCCAATATGAGTATCTGATGAGATTTTAAAGTGACTGTAGGTATCATATTGGTTTCATATGCTTACATTTTAAATAAACTTATAACATGTTATTACACCACCATCCTTTATCCTTCTGACAGGTGAATTAATGAAGGTACCAAGTTCTAAATTAAGGATACAAATTTGTAAATGTATTATTGACTTCTATCATGCAGAACCACCAAAAAAGCATATTCCAGGTAAAGTTTCATTTCTCTTTCAGTGATAATTTGTATCTTTAGGAAACAAAATTTCATTATCTCATATTTCATATCCCTAAACTTTGAAACCCAGGCTCATGGATTCAACACATAAAAATAAAATTTGTGTGTAACTTTGACTTCTTCAGTTATCTTTAAAAATTGTACACTTTTTTTTAGTTTGGGGGTTTACATCAAATTTTTATCTTGATGATAAATATTTATAGCCCAGTTGATAAAGGAATAGTCAATTAAGTTTTATTGTTACTAGTAGTATTTCTTAGCATTGTAAATAAAATTATTTACATAATATCAATACATCCAAGGAGATGCTAAATTTCTAATAGTGGTGCCATTCTCTATTGTGTTTGGGGAGAACTCTGTATGTTATAGCTAGGAAATACTAATATATACTGGTGAGTAGATTATAGCAAGTATTAGCATTGTGAGGATATGATATTATTTAAGACATATTTCTTATCTTCATTGATTATATAATTTGCAGTCAATATAGTAAGAGGGAATAAATAAATAAATGATATTTTGAAGATATATGTTTTTAAATAGATAAAAGTAAGTTGATGATAGTCTAAAAACTGTATGACTAAGGAGAACATGACAAGATATCTGAGTTAATGAAATTCATAAGGAGATTATTAAATATACAATGTGAAGTCTCAGTTAGGTAAGCAGATTGAAGAATTTAGTGAATAGTAGACATTGGATACTAAAATCATCAGGGATAAGAAAAACAGGCTTGTGGGCGGTGGTGGCACACACCTTTAATCCCAGCACTCATGAGTTCAAGACCAGCCTGGTCTACAAGAGCTGGTTCCAGGACAGCCTCCAAAGCTACACAGAGAAACCTGTCTCAAAATACACACACACACACACACACACACACACACACAAAAGTAAGGAAAAACATGCTTGAAATTCACTGAGTGGAAATGAAAATTGGAACTGTCAGTGATTGAATTAGTCAGGAAATAAATAATGTGAACAGCAAGGGCTCAAGAAGAGCACTATGAAGAGTGTTCATACTGAGAGTTGAGAAATGTGCTCAAAAGAATTAAGGGAAGTTTAAAAAGGATCCAACAAATAGAAATGTTCAAAAAGAGGAGGAGCTTGGTCTGGTATTGCCATCATTGGGATCCCGTGTGTGCTGCTGAGACTGCAGGCTGCCCTGTCTCTGTTGCACTGTGACCTGACCAGGCTGCAGGAGAGGGCAGCCACGGAGAGAACCCGAGACGGAGAGAACCCGAGACACCAGAAAGTTAGAAGAATACAAAACGGAGAGATCTAGAACATTGGACAGAAGTGCAAAACCTCAGGGGAAATCTAAAAGGTCAAATGGTAGAGAGATTATGAATGTAAAACTATGTGACCAGTGTGGAGAAATGTTGAGCCAGGCTCTAGATATATTCTGAACAAGAATATTCCTCCTGGTGTAAACCATGAGAAATCTGTATTGTGGAGAAGTACATATTGTCCTTTCATCTTCAAATGTACCCTCGAAAGCTCAACCTGCTCTCTTACTAAACCAAACGAGTGTCAGAAAAGAAGAGAAACCGTATAAGTAAATGTGAGGAGCACAAAGAGCTGCCATCCCCAGTGCTTTCCAAACATGAAAGGGTACATAGTGATGAGAAACCATATACAGATAAGTAAAATGGGAATGCTTATATTACCCTGCCAGACATTCAGAGACACGTGATAACACTCAGTGCAGAGAAACCTTATAAACATAAGGTGTCCTGTAAAGCCTTTGGCTGTTCCAGTTTAGTTCTAATACATGAGAGAAATTGCTCCAGGGAGAAAGTCTGTGAGTGTAAGCAATGTTGGGGGGAAGCATGTGGTTTATCATGTTCTATTCAGATATGCATGAAATTATGCTGGAGAGAAACTTTATGCATGTAAGCAATGTTAGAAAATCTTCAGTCATCCATATTCCCTTCAAATGTGTGAAAGAACACATTGGAGAGAAGCCTTATGTTTGTAAGCATTGTAATAAAACACATTTACAACAGTTAGTCACAACAGTTAGTTCACATTCATGAAAGAACTCACATTGGAGGAAAAACTACATATGTAAACAATGTAGAAAATCCCTGAGTGCTTCAGGTCCCTTGCTTATGTGAAAAGATTCATAGAAGAAAGAATCCTTTCTTATTTAAGCATTGTGGTGAAACCTTCAGTTGCTCTACTTACTATTAAAGACATGCAGAAATTTTTGTTAAAAAAGAGAAACTCAGTGTTGTAAGCAGTGTAAGAAAGCCTTCATTCAACCCAGTAACTTTCACAAGCAAAAGAACTCATGCTGGAAAGGATCTCTGAGCAACAAGCATGGGAAGTTGTAGGCAGACTTTTCTTTCTCACCTGTCAGTTCCCAAATAACTGACAAGGAGACTCAATATTAATTATAAATGCTCAGCTAATAGGTCAGGCTTATTACTAACTAGCTCTTACAGCTTAAATTAACCCATTTCTATTCATCTATGTACTGTCACGTGGCTTGTGGATTACCTGTCCTCCAGCCTGTCTTGCTCTCTCTGTGTCACTTTCTGACTATTCTGACTCTGCCCTTCTTCTTCCAAGAATTCTCCTAGTCTAGCTCTCCCACCCAATCTCTCCTGTCCAACTATAGGCCAGTCATCTCTTTATTAACCAATGAGAGTAATACATATTTATAGTTTACAAAGATTGTCCACAGAAGGAAGTGTTCATTGTCACACAACTGACTTTCCAGGACTCAGGAGAATGCCAAATGCTGAGAACTTGTATTAATATAAATTGTGTGGAACAATTCTAGTTACCTTGATTCAATTCATAGATAGAACATAGTATGGGGAGAAACCTTGAAGAGAAGAAATATGCAAAGTCCTCATTAAAGTCATGTATAAGAATGAAGTCCACATCATGTGGGTATGAAAAATAATTTTTATGGCTGACAGTTGTCACAAGTAAAGTCAAAATACCATGAAAAGTTTTAGTGTAAAATAACCCTATCAATGCCATGCCCGCTGCGCAGCCTGTATCCGAGAATGTGGCGAGGGTATAGGGATTGATGACACAGAGACCAGAAGGCTCCTCAAGAAGGCTCTCCTTTATTCCTACTTTGGCTGGTTATTATATACCCTGACACCAGAGGCGGCGATGGGTAGCTAGAGAGAGGCGGTTAGTCTTTGGAAAAGGTCGAGGTCAGGGCGTTCCCGTGGGCAAGCCCTTTTCAGGAACTTATTGCCCTGGGCATTGTATTGTTTTTAGTAAACATGTTTTTAGTAAACATTGTATTACAGCTGCCTGGTCCCAGGCTGATGGGGAAGTGGGTCTCTGGCCAAGGTCTGGTGTCCCCACATATCAATGTACCAGGAAGAGACTGAAGCAAAATACTTGCTGTAGCATCTTCTATAAAAATACCCACCCTGAAGGAAATGTTCAAAAGTGAGAAATAATTTGTTTATCAGGGGAAGAAACCTAAAGATTGACATGTGTGTATTAATGAATGAAATGCTTCATGAAGAGACTTCTGTGATGATGGATGGAAAGCCCAAGCTGCTGTAGTTGTAGCTAACGTTTGAGAGCTGCTGACAACAGTGACCTTACAGCAATATGAAAGGACCATGAGAGCAGAAGCAGTCACTTGAGACTGAAGCAGGGTCAGCTCATAAATACAAACCTGTACTTAGAGCTGAAGGGCAAAAGCAAACAGGAAGATGGGGACCAGCAGCTCACTGGTAGCAAGATCAATGAATGGCTGTTTGGGTTTTGTTGTTAGCTTTTGGATGTGGAAATGAAGCTTCTAGGCAGACAAGCTAGAAGCTCCTAAGTGGGAAGTGGAAAAATCAAGCCCTTGAAGTAAACATGAGACATTGTAGTTAAGAGCACAATCCTAGAATTGATTCAGCAAAATAGAGACACCCTGTAAAGAAAAGAAGACACGCTGGCAAGATGACTCAGTGGGTAAAGGCACCTGCTGCCGAGGCTAGCAACTTGAGTTCAATCCTCAGGACACATATAGTGGAAGGAAAGAACTGACAGCCATAGGTCATCCTCTGACCTCCACACACATGCCGTGGCACACAGGGGTTGTAAATACATTGCCACAACATGCACCAAAAGAAAAAGAATTAGAGTAAAAATACCTTAAAACTTTATTTAGAGCTGCATATGGTGGCACACACTTTTAATTCCAGCACTTGGGAGACACAGGTAGGTGGATCTCTGTAAGTTCAAGGCCACCCTGGGATACAGAGCAAGTTGCAGTATATCCAGGGCTAAGCAAAGAAACCCTGTCTTGAGAAACAAACAAAACTTTATTTAAAAAAAGAGAGACAGTGGTGCATGAGTTAAGACAGAGGAGTTTTGAGGTTCAGGGAAGTGAATGTAACCTTGACGTAATCAAATTGGGAGATGTAGACAGTGCCCTTACAAGTGTTGCTCAGTTGGTTAAAGTCACAGGCACGGCTGGATGTTTGGGACCAGAGCTGGAAAGTCCTCAGTAGAGTGATTGGAAAATATATGGTCCATGACACAGAAGTTAGGTTCATGAGACTAGATGTTTATGTGTCCTTCAATAGAAATGTAAACTCAGTAGAAAAAAACAGCAAGAATAAAGCACTTACTTTAGGTCAGCCATGCAAAAGACTTATGTAACTAAAATCATGAGTTGGAAAAGTATTTTGTGAATGGGCTATAGTAGAGTATAAAATTCTATATGTAATGTGCTATTAAAATTATGTACATACATTAAAAATAATCAGCAAGAAATATATTGAATGTTAACATTATCTTTAAATGGTAAAATTATAAGCAATTTTTATTATCCTTTGTATTTTCATTTTTAAAAGTGTGTGTGTGTGTGTGTGTGTGCCTGCACTGTATGTATATGGTTATATATGTCTGGTATATGCTCACGTATGTGTATAGGTAGCTGAGGATGTTGGGCATTCTGCTCTATAATTCCATAATCTTTTGAGCCAGGGTCTCTTACTAACCCTATCATTAAGCTGGTGGCCAGTAAGCCCAGCAATCTTATTGACTCTCCCCCAAGCCCTGGAGTCACAAGCAAGTGTGTAGCCATGCCATGCTTTTTTGTGCGTGTGTTTCGTTTGTTGTTAAGTATTGTTGTTTGTGAGACATAGTGTCACCATGTCCCCCTGGCTAGCCCGGTACTGTCTGTGTAGACCAGACTATCAGAGAACCCACCAAGATCTGTCTGCCTCTGCATCCTGAGTGCATTAATGAAAGGTGTGTGCCACCATGCCCAGCTCATGCCAAGCTTTTTACCTTCATGCTAAAGATTCAAAGTCAAGTTCTCATGCTTGTAGAGCAAGCGCTATTACCCTCTTTGTATCTGTAAATACCCTTTTAAACTTTCACAGTGAGTATGTAGGGTATACCTCCTATTTCCAGATAATCCAGAGATGAACAGGGCCTTGGCTATGGCCTGGGGACAGACATCTCAGAACTGTGTCATGGCTAAAGAATCTAGTTGGATTTAAAGGTCAAGATGTCAGGGAGTTATACATGAGGTCACTGAGGGAAAACAGCTCACCTTACTGTGGTGTTTATTTAATCCCCATGACTATAAACAGCTAGCAAAAGTGGCAGTGTGCCTCCTGGGACCTATAGCAGAATGAAATTTTGTAAGTCTTGCTATTCCGCTGCCCTAAAATACCCCTGAATTCACAATCATTAATTCTCCCCTCTCATTTACTGCTGATAGGATATAATTCTTATCCCTTGAAAAAGCTGAAGCAGTACATTATCACAGATAGTGAAAATGTAAAGTATTTGTAACCATGCTATTTGACTTTACAGAAAGTTAACTACTTACTGACACATACATAGGATTTTGTTTGTTTGTTTGTTCTGTTTTTTCATTTGTATGTATTTAGAATTTAAGATGTGGTTCCAAACTCTGTGAGTTTATTTCAAGGCCAAAATACTATGAATCCCCAGGGCAAAACTGGCATATTGTAAATTAAATGTTATTGGACACAACCATGTCCATTTTTTCATTTTATTTATGGCTTTCTTCTTACTATGATATCATGCTACAATATCTAGAGCTAGATAGTCCAGGCACAGATCATAATAACAGATCAGAGATTAAATATATACTGTATGACCATTTGTAGATAACTTTGCCCATTCCTCTGCTGTACACATTGTAAATACCATGTGTTCTTTAAAAAAGCTTTTTATGTTGTTTCTGTTACTAAATGATCATTATGTGAAATAACTGTCCCTGTTATGGTGCTAGGCTACCAGCAGGTGAGCTCGTCATACAAGATCAAGATGGCTGAAGCTGGAGGATTGGCAAAAGCAATGGTCCAGTCTGTGCACTTGCTTGAAAATCAGCTCGTTGAGAAACTTTGGGTTCTTAAAGTTCTGCAGCATCTCTCCACTTCTGGTGTGTAGCATGTTGCTGAATTTGCTATTTCATTGTCCACTACTTTTCCTTTTCTATAATAGACTATGCAATACAAATAGTTGTTAAATTTAATTTTCAGAAGCTAATTGCACTTTAATGGTGAAAACCCAGGCTGCTGGCGGAATCTGTGCTCACCTCAATGACCCGGATCCCTCAGGGCAGCTCCTCTTTCGTTCATCAGAAATACTTTGGAACCTCCTGGAAAAATCTTCAAAGGATGAAGTTATACAACAGCTTAGTAACTTGGAATGTCTGCTGTAAGTGTCTGTGGGTAGCTAGCAATGTCGTTTGCCTTGAACAATAGCCAGTGATAGATAACTAACAACTTTGAATAACTGTGACTGTGCTTCGTGCCATTGTAGAAGGCAAAGCAGCTACACTTTTTATTCTTTTGTGAGTTCTGAGGTAGGTCTCCTGTAGTAAGGCCAGCTTGGAACTTGCAATATAGTTGAGTGAGGATGGTCTCCTTCCTCTTCTTCCCCAGTACTGGAATTATAAAGAAGTGTGTACTGCCATGTCCTGGAGAAGCCAGGTATAATAGGATGCTCTCAAAGTATTGTGCTATAGAGCTAATGTGTTCCTTTACAGATGAATAAAGTAAAATTAGACTTTCGCAGGGCATTGGCAGCACACACCTTTAATCCCAGCACTCAGGAGGCAGAGGCAGCCTGTGAACTCTGTGAGTTCAAGGCCACGTTGGTCTCCAGAGCGAGTTCCAGGACAGCCTCCAAAGTAATACAGAGTAACTCTGCCTCAAAAAACCAAAAAAAAATGTTTTTAATTTGAAATTTTTAATTAAGAAAATTAGAACATTTCATGGATCTTCATTTTAAAAATACTGGAACGTTTCATGACTGCCAGACGAGGTGAGACAGAAACTCTGTCATCAACCTCTTACGTTTACAGAGAAAAGCAAGTACATAACATAAATAATTAAATGAAAGTATAATAAATATAATGAGACTTTTTGCAAGCTATTGCATCTTTTCCAGAATAAGGTGGATGAATATATTTTTGTTTTCAAGTGACCCCAAGCCCCAAGCGTACTGTCCTAGTTAGTGTTAACTGTTAACTTGGCACAGTCTGTAACTACTGAAAAGGGAGTCGCTATTGAGGGCTTGGTCAGATTTACCTGTACATCTGTGGGGGACTGTCATTATTGTAACTGCTCTAAGATGGCCCAGCCCACTGTGGGCAGCACCATTCCCTGGACAGTGGTTCTAGGCTATACAAATCAGCCAGGTGAGCACGAGCCTGTGAGTGAGCCAGCCACTCATAGGAACCATGGGGGAACATGGCTTCTGCTTCATGTCTTGCCCTGACTTACTCTCAGTCATGAACTGTGACCTGTAAGTGTAAGCCAAATAAATCATTTCCTCCTCTGAGTTGCTTTTGGTCAGTGTTATTTTTATCACAGTAACTGAAAAGAAACTAGAACACCGACTGATGATGCAACTAAAAAAAAAAGAAAAGAAAAAGCTGATTTCCTCAGCCTGTTTGGTGAGATTGCAGAAAATGTGAGGACTTAGTGTCTCTCTATCTATGGGTGCTGTCTTCACGCTTTTGGCTTCATCCTGGTAGAACAGTGGTTCTCAACCTGTGGCTCATAACCCCTTTGGGGGTAAAACCACCCTTTTACAGGGGTCATATATGAGATATTCTGGGTATCAGACATTTACATTATGATTCATAACAGTAGCAAAATTTATATTATGAAGTAGCAATGAAAATAATGTTATGGGTGGGAGTTCACCACAACATGAGGAACTGTATGAAAGGCCCACAGCATTAGGAAGGGTGAGAACCGCTGCTGTAGAACCACAATCCTGGGCCTACTACAGCAGGGCCCCAAGCGGCAGAAACAATGACTGTCTACTACAGAAGGAATCTGGCCTGGAGTTGAGATGCTTTATGCTTCCTCTCACTCATTAACCTCAGCAGTATCTCACCGATTAGGAGTCAGTTACACACAACAGTCTTTTGCAGAGGAAAAGACAAGTAAAAATCAGATTCAGAAAAAATAAAAACCTAAAAGAAGTTTAGTATGAGGAAAGCAGAAGAGTGAGGAAGGCCATTAAGAGCTGAGGCTCCAGAGAGAGCAAGAACCATGACGTCAGAGCCATGGGAAGCTGACTGAGAGAAGACTTTATCCTAAGAATCAGGATAAAGCTGTGAGTGGCTTTAACATGACATGATTAAGTCTTGTAACAAAATCACATCGACAACTGTGGGTAGTTAGATTAGTGGCTTCTTATTTGGTGCATTGTCATGAATTAGAAGCAGGTTGGGAAGGATAAAAAGATGAGAAACACTTCAGTCAAAAGTTTAAAATTAAGAGTAGGTTTTGTTGATAGAGAATTATTTCCATAGGAACGTGTCTAGGTTGAGCGTTCCTTAACAGAGTATCAGAGAACTGTAGTTCATAAACAACAGTAACCTTTTCTCAGTGTTAGAGGCTAGAAATGAACTCAGAGTGCCAGCATGACAGGGCTCTGGTAAAGGTGCTCTTCAAGACAGCAGGACCCTGACAGCTCATCCCACAGGGAACGAAACCTGCAGCAGAGCTCTTTGACGTTCCTGGTGTGAGGACATTGATTGGTCTGAATCCTTCTTCCCCTAAGCCCACCTTCCCCAAGCTTCATACAAGCCAGCATTTCAAGAAATAAGTTTTGAAGAGGAGCAAACATTTTCCTATAACAATATCATTTTTAATGTTTTATTTTCTAGGGCTTTGAAGGAAGTATTTAAAAATCTGTTTATGAGGGGCCAAAGTCATTATGACCGTCAACTTAGAAATGATATATTAGTTATCACCACAATTATAGCTCAGAACCCTGGTGCACCAATGATTGTAAGTATGCATCAGATTGCATTAATTTTAATGGTGAAAGTGATAGAGGTATTGTAAATCATGTTTTAGTGTTTATGTGTTTTATTGCAGTGCTAAGTTGTGTTTTAATGCTCTGCCATTCTGTTGCGTTCCTGAGCAAGTCTGACATTCTTCATATTTCATCACTTACAGTATCCCTGGTGTTTTTCTTTTTTTCTGTTCACCTAGCTTCATTTCCTTTCCTTTTCTTTCCTTCTTTCTTTCTTTCTTTTTTTTTTTTTTTGAGACAGGGTTTCTCTGTGTAGCTTTGTAGATCAGGCTGGCCTTGAACTTACGGAGATTCACCTGCTTCTGCCTCCCAAGTGCTGGGATTAAAGGTGTGTGCCACCAACGCCCGGCTTTCATTTCCTTTTCAATAAAATAATTTTGTCTATCATTTCATGCAGTACAAATGTACCTACTTGTCGCACCTGCTGTGTGGCCTGCATCCGAGAATGTAGCGAGGTGGTCGGGATAGATGACACAGAGACCGGTCGGTTGCTTTAAGAAAACTTTATCTTCCCAAGTCAGCTTAGGAGAGAGCTCTCAGAAGAAATCTCAGGAGAAGTCTCTCCAAGAAAAAGGGCTTCCCTTTTTAAGGACTTTTGCCATCCATTTACATACCATTCTTTCCACTTCTCACCCTCCTGGCTGGTGGTTTAATCTCCGGCCCCAGAATCGGGGAGACACCACAGGGGGCAGGAAGAGGCATCTAGCCATAGGAGGTGTGGAAGGCATGGTATTTCAGTGAGCCAGCCCTTATCTGAGCCCTATCAAGCTTTAAAGCACTGAATTGTTTTCAGTAAACATTACATAGATGCCTGCTCCCAGGCCGAAGGGGAAGTGGGTTTCTGCTCAAGGTCTGGTGTCCCCACAATTCACCCCTTTTTATTTTTAAATGAGGCACTCCTGTCTTAGGTCAAGTAGGGTCACCCTCCCTGGCCCGTCTTTGGGGGACCTTGAACCCCTGTTAGGTGGGAGTGGGTCTTCCCCACAAGTTGCCCGTCATTGAAGTAGCCCCACCCTTAAAATCATTTGTAATAAGGCTTTATGGCTATCGGGATTGCCATGGGCTAAGGCACTTTGAACTCAGCATGAAGCCAGAATGCCTACTGCCACTGTTACCATTCCTAGGACCCCCACTGACATAGCGCCTCTCTGTCACCTGCCCATCCCCCGATCTGGGCCTTAGCATTCTACCACCAGCCTTTCTTTGCTACAAGGGTGATTTATAGTTACAATTTGACGGTCAAAACAGTGATAAAGTTTACAATTATTTTAAGATCTACTTAGGAAAGCATTAGAGAGTGCGCTTGCACAGATACATTAGGTACAATCATTGATGTTACACATGTAGCATTATAAAAAATATGAACAAGAGGCTTGTTGCACTATTTACAGGGTACCAATTTGTTCCTGTGGTGATGTAGTCTGTTGATTTAATGTCAGTAGTATCAGCCGAACATGCAACCCGAGTCAAAGTCTTTTTGTCGCACCAGGACAAACCACATTTCTCCAGAAAAACACACTGTGATTCCAGAAACAGGAACTACCGAGTCTGATATTTCAAGTGACCATGTCCTGTTCAAATACTGAAAAAAGGCTTTTGCCATTCATCACAGTCCATACCAATGTCTAAATGTTAAATGGGTCCTTTTTCCCCCAAAGGGAAAAGCTGGCAAAATGAATTCTGTTGTTTTAAGGTGTATCAAAGGCTAGCTGCTAATCTTCCAGTTTTGTTGGCTTTGGGATGAAAACTCACGGGTCCAGGAGGTTGATGTAGCAAGCCTGATGAGAAACTGGAAATCTCGAACTGACTGTTTTATTTCTTTCTCGGGCTGTAGATTTGATGACATCAAGGGTCAGGAACACTGATTTAGGAGATCTCGAACTGGCTTGAGCAGGCTCCCACGGTCTCAGGTCCAGTTTTTTCTGCTCCATGCATCTCACCAGATGTTGTGACCGCTACTGAAGCTTTATTCTTTTCCTGTAAGAAAACACAAACATGCCCTCGACCCCAAATTAGGGTCTTCTCTACTGTCTAGTGTATGGATGTTTCCATTTGGCCTGAGTAATAGTTATTTAACTTTCATTATGTCAGAATCTGTCTGAAGCAGATTCCTCACTGGCATTTATATTTTATAAATATTTAAATGAGGAGTGGATTATTTAATGAATCATGTGGAGACTGGGGACATTACTCCCTTTTATTTTTAAATTTTGTTTGAACTGTTGAAGTTGGACCATAACAGTAGAAGGATTTGTCTACCCTCCTTAGTCAACTATCTAGGTGAATTGGGATCACTATTTAAAGTATTAGTAGATGTCCTTTAAAAGGGACATAACCATTAAGTACCTTTGAGAATCATTTAAGGATTGTAAACTATACTATGTCCCAAATAGTCCTTTTTTTTTTTTTCTAACCTGTAGCTCTCACTAGCTGACAAGGCCTCATTTGCATCTGAGCTGACAAGGCCTAATTTGCATCTACACAGACACCTTTGGGGGTGGGGGCCTGCCAAAGCGGCAGGACAGTTCCCTGAAAAAACCTCTCTCTCTCTCTCTCTCTCTCTGACTGGCTCTGAGGGCTTAACTTGAATTTTTTTGTTAAAATATTAACCGACTGACTGGATGTTTCTTTTGGCTATATCTAAATCGATTTAGGTAGTTTTTAACTGTTTGAAGGGATTTAAGTATCCCTTTAATCATATCCAAGGCAATTAGAACAGTTGCTTTTGTCAAAATTTACGCATTTACATTTCACACTTCATACATACTGACGTGGCCACGTTCATACACACAGACCATGCATACATATCTCTCCTTGCCTAGGTTATGATTAGTTTGTTGAACTGAAACTTCTTTAACAGAACAACTCCAGTCAATCTTTGAATTAAAACAAAAGGTTGAAAAAGTCCTGTATGTCCCTCGTCATTTCTTTATTAGAGAAGTTTTGAGCTACACTCAGGGGCTACAGCCATACCCACTCCTTGTAATTCTGTAGATGTAAAGTGGAAAGGCCAGGCTTTTGTCAAAAGTTTTTAGAGATGACTCACAAAATTCAATAACCTACCCCATATAAATGTAACCAAACATTTTTATTTTATATACCTTTGTCTTTTTCTTTACTGAATGCTAATACCTCATTTATTAACTGTTACCAATTTTTTAAATTTACCCATCTTTAATCTATCCTCCCATTGAGGATGATCCTCCAATCTACCCTCCAACTGAGGGCAACTTCTTATCTTAGGTTCCCTTTCTTTTCTGACCTTTATTAGGTGAGGGCCTATACATTTAATCAAATCCACCCTTCAACTGAGGGTGATCTCTTAGGTTCCCTTTCCTTCCTGACCTTTGTCAGGCAAGGACCTAGACATTTAATCTGGTACCCCTAGCTTGGTACCCCCTTTTTAATACATCCACATAGCCTTACTGGCTAGCCTTTTAGATCTCTCAGTTCCCCTTTACTTTCCTGACCTCAGTGGGTCAGGCGAAAGACTGGAGATTTTTTATTTTATTTCTTATTTTACCCTTTTTTTTTTCATTTTGTTTTTTTTTTTCTTTTTTTTTTTTTTTTTTTTGAGACTGGGTTTCTCTCTATCCTTTTGGAGGCTGTCCTGGAACTTGCTCTATATACAAGGATGGCCTCCATTCTACCTACCTCTGTCTCTCGAGTGTTGGGATTAAAGGCATATGCCACCAACACCCGACTCTAAAGATCATAGCGAACATCCTTCCAATCTGGGACATTTAAGCCTTCCCCAGTAATGAACCATGGACTGGCATGTTCAATCCATTTTAAAAAGCCTTCCAAGGTTTTAGGCTTTACTGTAGTCCCATGTCCTTCAAGTAACTTTTTAACTTGATACTGTAATTTAAGCTTCCCAGAACTATTTCCCATGGTTTCTTTTCTTTTCTTTTTTTTTTTTTCCAATCTGTCCCTGGCCAGAAAAAGAGACGAACCCGCTCACTTACCTCGCTTTCACGATCTCGGTGGGATCCTCCAATTGTCGCACCTGCTGTGTGGCCTGCATCCGAGAATGTAGCGAGGTGGTCGGGATAGATGACACAGAGACCGGTCGGTTGCTTTAAGAAAACTTTATCTTCCCAAGTCAGCTTAGGAGAGAGCTCTCAGAAGAAATCTCAGGAGAAGTCTCTCCAAGAAAAAGGGCTTCCCTTTTTAAGGACTTTTGCCATCCATTTACATACCATTCTTTCCACTTCTCACCCTCCTGGCTGGTGGTTTAATCTCCGGCCCCAGAATCGGGGAGACACCACAGGGGGCAGGAAGAGGCATCTAGCCATAGGAGGTGTGGAAGGCATGGTATTTCAGTGAGCCAGCCCTTATCTGAGCCCTATCAAGCTTTAAAGCACTGAATTGTTTTCAGTAAACATTACATAGATGCCTGCTCCCAGGCCGAAGGGGAAGTGGGTTTCTGCTCAAGGTCTGGTGTCCCCACACCTACTCTCAGTGAAGCCTCCTTTATATAAAAATTCCTCTAATTCACCTTAATTACTGAATTTTATGTTCATTGAACATAGACTCCTAGGGTGAAACATTCTTTATTAACACTTGAAAGGTAATTTTTCCATCTTCTTCTCTCTGCTGTTCCTGGTCAGTACTTGTTATTTCAAATTCTTGCTTCCTTATATGAAAAGTGTCCTTTAAATTCTGTCTTCAAGATTCCCCTGTCTACCATTGGTGTTCAGCATTTTTGGTACAAAAGGCCAAGGGTGATCCTTTTTGTATTATCCTTTATAGAGTTTCCTACATGTGTAATTTTTTTCACCAAATTTAAACAAATTTGGTCCATTATTTTCATCATTAGTTTATAGTTTATTCTCTCTCCCCTCATGTTCTGGCATTCCAATTGTGCATTTGATTTTTTTCCAATGTCTCATATGGTTATAGGCTTCTGGTAACAATTTTCAATCATTTTTCTCTCTAGTCCTCAGATGGATGATTGTATTGGTCTATATATTTAAATAAACTGGCTTTCTCTGTCACATCCATTGTACTGCTCATCCTTTTTTAGTGTGCTTTTATTTCATATACTAAAATTCCTCTTTTTTTCAGTTCTGGAGATCAAACCCAGGGCTTTTTTCATGGTAGGATTGTACACTGAGCTATACCTTAGCCCTGTTTGACTCCTTTTCATGGTTTCTACTTTTATGCAGAGTTCCTGCATTCCTATTCATTATGAGTATCTTTACCGTGGATTTTAACATAAGCTTCTGAAGAGTACTTTTTCAGGTTTGTTATTTGTAGACATTGGACATATCTACATTCATCCAACTATGTGGTCCAACTATGATGCATCCAACTGGGATCCATCAAATCCCAGTTTGGTTCTTGTAGCCATAGCTATGATGTGTAGAATTCTCTGTATTTGGACAAATCAGGCAGTCCTCAGAGACTGAGGAAGCATTTGTGTGCATATTTGAGATTCCCCTCCTGACTTTCTGCTTTATGAGACTGACCTTTCGTTCTCTCGGCTGTGGTTGCCTCAGTCCTCTGATCCATTGGTCTGCTTAGACTACAGGTTTACCTTTGAGTTTAGCATCCCCACAAAGTGTAGAATAGGGATTGCTGCCTGCCTAAAATCCAGTTGTAAAAGGAGTTGCTATAAGAATTTACACAGGGAATTCTTCTTCAAAGTTCCAACTTTCTTCTGATGTCTATTTTCTTTTGGCCACAAGATTGCTGCCTTTTATATTTTACTCAAAGAAGACTTCTTTTATCATAACTGCTTAGCCATATCAGAAGCAATCTCTATATTTAGAAATATTTAATATTTTTATTTATGCGTATGTGTGTCTGTCTGAGTGTGGGTTTGTCTCTATGAGTGTAGATGCCCACAGAGGCAGAAGAGAGTGTTGGGACACCTGGAGTTGGAGTAACAGGTGCTTGGGAGTCACCTAAAGCAGACTTTGGAAACTGATCAAGTTGTACGAATAGTACACACTCTTAACTTCTCAACCATCTTTTCAGCCCCTCCCTGTACTAGAGTGTCACACCTGCTGTGCAGCCTGTATCCAAGAATGTGGCAAGGTGTTCAGGATAGATGACACAGAGACCGGTCGGTTGCTTTAAGAAAACTTTATGCTTCCCCAGTCAGCTTAGGAGGAGAACTTAAGTCTGCTTAGGAGAACCCCCAAGAAAAAAGCTTCCCTTTTTAAAGACTTCTGTCATCCATCTATATACAATTCTTCCCAGACTTCTCACCCTCCTGGCTGGTGGTTTAATCTCCAGCCCCAGAATCGGGGAGACACAGCAGGGAGCAGGAAGAGGCATCTAGCCGTGGGGGGATCAAAGTCATGGTATTTCAGTGAGCAAGCCCTTAATGGAGGCCTATCAAGAGCTTTATAGCATTGAATTGTTTTCAGTAAACATTATCTCACAGCTGCCTGCTCCCAGGCAGAAGGGGAAGTGGGTTTCTGCTCAAGGTCTGGTGTCCCCACACTAGAGAACAAAACATTGAATGATCTCGATCTTAAAATAGAGAGATTTTGCAACAATATTCACATATCAGCCATATTACTTTCTATATTGGGTTTCAAAGGTTTAGGTTCAAAGGTCCCAATACTTGTCAGTATACATCAAATAGTCCAACATTAAAAAGTCATGAAATTTACACTGCAAAAATGTATGAACAGTCCAACAGAGTACCCAGTTAAGTCTACCATATGTAGGTAGACCCTTATGTTTGTCTGACAGACTTTGGTCAATCAGTGAGTTCTCAATTACATCATTGTAAACATTCTAGTAACTCTGTGAACATAAATCAAAGCAATAACATTCTTACATTTTTAAAGAAGCCACTTGAATCCTGAAGAAAAATCATGCCATAATTGCAAAGCCCAGTATTATTTCATCTTATAACTTTCCTTACTATCAAAGTTCAATCCCATGTCTTTGTCAGGAGTGAGTTCCCTTTGCTGAGGTATTTGCAGCTCTGGAAATTCCTCCCTAGGGCTTTTGTGTTAAGTAACACTGTTGTGTTCTCTCTGGGCTGTCCTTTCGTGTAATGAGAGTGACTGGAATAAAGGCAGGATCAAAAAGGATAGCTATTGAAGAATTGGATTTGCTGCCTTCTGTTGTCATTTACTGGTGTAGAAAGTGAATCACAGAAGGGATGTGCAGACATCTCACTCACTTGCAGATACCACCTCCGGTATCCATAGACTAATACAAAGACTTTGCAGAAGCTTCAGAAGCAAGTTTAAATTCAGACATTCCAGTTGCCTAGCCGTAGGGTGTTGCTTTTTCACTTTTACTCATTAGTATTATAAATTCAAGTGAATTACGGTAAGGGAGTTGGATGGCAGCAGTTCAATAGCAGGCAACTATGGACACCTGTAGCTTAATTGCCACTCTAATTATTCACCTTTCTGTCTATTTTGTGTGTTTGTAATAGGAATGTGGCTTTACCAGGGATTTGATACTGTTTGCAACTTTCAATGAAGGTAAAACTTGTACCACCTTAAGCATTTTATAAATGTCTCAGTGAGTCTTACGTATAATTTTAGCCTTCATTTCACTCTTTTTTTCCTCTCACAGTTAAAAGTCAAAATCCTTTGGTAAAAAGTCTTAAGCTTTCTAATTCCTATGAAGATTTTGAGTTGAAGAAATTGCTATTCAATATAATTGTGATCTTATGTAAAGATTTAACTACTATACAGGTAAAGACTAATCAAAACAAAAATTAATGAAAGCATCTCACTTTATAGCATAGTTTTTTAAAGTCATGATTGCAAATCTTTCATTAACCAACCCATGTCTATATCATAGAAAGTAGCAAAGTTGTCAGCTTGAATTGTAGTCATTTAAATGTCCTTTGCAACAATAAACACAAAGGATCTAACTTTGAACCACACACACCCACCAAAGTAATAGTAGGAGCTAAGACGTCTATAAATATACGCAGATCTCCTAACTAGCAACATAGTTCACACATCCCAGACCATTTTCAATTACTCATGCACGGAAAGCCCTCTACCCCACCTTAGCCGATGGCTTTCCTCTGACTGTCAAGCTAAGGGATGGTTAATGTTAAAGGTAATTGCTGGCATCTGTTAGGCCAGTCTCAGACCCTTATGAACCCATGTTTTCGCCACACAAGCCTAACATCTTTAATTTTTATTCACTCATTTATCCTGCTCTGTTCATTATTTCACATGTGATGTAGTTTGAGGAACACTGGGATTAAGCCCCACCTCTGCTTGTCACCTTTTGTGTGGCCTTGATCAAGTTCCCTTCCCTGGGGGCTTAGTCCTCCTTTACAAAGCTGAGCACGCTTGCACACAGGGCTCTCAAGAGCTTTGCCAATCATAAAGCATTAGAAATATGTACTACTAACTGTCCTGTGAGTTTAGCCCCTTGCTGCATGCAGTAAGTGAAATTCCCTTCTAACCTGAAACGCTTTGAAGCTCTTTTTATGAAAAGAAGTGAGTGTTCATTCTATCAAGATAAGGACTGATGACATACACGTGGTGAGGGGTGGTGAGTTAACCTTACTTTGGTGCATTCCCATTGTGATCACTTTTTAGGAGTCCTTTTGAGTAGAATAATTAGTTTCTCTAAATCCCAGGTAGTTCAGCTTCAGCAGAGGGTAACCCCTACCTTGGGGATTATTATGAGACTTTATTATTATAACTATTGTTGTTAGACTATGATAGTTTAACAGGCTTGGCATCTTCTTGAGAATGACAATATATATTATATAAACTGAAATCAGATAAAGATAAATTGCATTTATGTTATAGTTTTATCATTTGTATCAAATATATAATGTATACCACATATATTTTTCTTAAGTGCTTAACAGAAAAATCCTTCCATAAAATATGTTTTATTGTTACAGTACAAAGTTAAGTACAAAATTAATAATTAAATTTTACTCTACACTTTTTTCAGTTTCTACTGGTTGAGTATTTTATAGACAACAGAGTCAAATAGCCAAAGGTTGTCATAAGATTTTTAAAATAGGTTATGAACAATGGTGGAGTTAATTTTTGAGATTATATATCTTTGGTCTAACAATAATAAAAATAATAAACATATATATACTATCACAATTCATGGAGTATTTCCAGCCTTGTCCACTGGATTTTCACAGTGATACTAGAACTGATACTCTTGTTCATAATTACTCAACTCCAAATCTTGATCGCTTTGAATGTACACAATGAAGTGACACACTAGCGAATTCAGCAGAGAAGGTATAAAAACAAAACTTTTAATTGTTAGTAAACCCTCTTTATAGAGTAACTAATGCTAAGCAAGTAGGAAGACAGTATCATACAGGACAGCGATTTATACTGTTATGTAGTGAATATGCAGCAACCCGTGTCAGCTTTGCCATTGGTCATTTTACAATTATTAATTCTTGTTCTGATTGAAATGCTAGGTTCAATAAAGCTATAACATCTTAAAGTGTCTAATTAAATGCAGCTTGTGATCTGACTGACAGTCGTTGATATATTGTGTAAATTCTATTATTAGTACTTCAGAAACAGTTTGTATTGCCCTGTTATTACCTTTATGCTCTTTTGAGGGCTAGAGGTTCAGCTTAGCAGTAGGCTGTTTGACGTGTATGCACACGGCCCTAGGTCTGATCCCTAGCACTATAACCAAAAAAAAAATGCCATTCATTTATTTTTCCTCCAATTTCCTACCTCTGATTTTATTATATGTAGAAACAAATACATGCACTACATCAAAAATTAATTAATGTGTATCTTCTGTTACTGTCATTCAAGGAGCTTGCACCCAGGAAAAGGGATTACTGTTCTTACTGTCACCAGGCTGCTGTTGATGATAGTGCTGTTACCTTTTTATCCCCAGGTGTTTGGGGTACTGTCATGGATTGGAAGGAAATACCTTGAAGTTATCACCAAAACATCATATTTGAAGTCTTGCATTTAATTTTGCTAGATTAGATACAGATAATTTAATTATGCTACTAACAAAGTACATTTTGCCCTTCCTTATAGATATTAATCGATGGCAAAGTTATTCTGGCTTTGTTTACCTATGTCAAAAAGCCTGAGAAACTCAAAATCATCGAGTGGTCTGCAGCACAGTATGAGGAGCTGCAACTGCATGCAATTGCCACCTTGTCCTCGGTGGCCCCTCTGCTAATAGAAGAGTATATGGCATGCCAGGGCAACGCTCGAATCCTGGCCTTTCTAGAATGGTGTGAGCACGAGGGTGAGTGTCCGTGAGGGCTCTGTCAAGATTCCATCTGCATCTCAATCGAACTCTCAGTATTTTCATAAAAAGCAAGTGTTAAATCTTTGAGTGTATATATATATATATATCTTCATAAACATTGAGATTTGAGGGCTAGAGAGCTGGCTCAGCACTTAATAGCACTAATAACACTTACTCTTCCTGCAGAAGATCTGAGTTTAGCTCCAAGCACCAATGTCAGAGAGGTCACAAGTGCCCCCAACTCCAGTTCCAGGGGATTCAGTGTCCTCTGCAGGCACCTGCAATTATGTGTACATGCCCCCACAGAGACACACACACTTACACATGATTAAAGATAAAACAAACCTGTTGACAAAAAGGGAAATTTCAAAGTCAGATATTAACAAAGATCTCAGATATAATTACTGAACATTTAAAAGTAATTATATATATGATTTATTTAAATTATTGCATTAAGCAGCTATAAAATTATACTTAAGAATGAAATAATAATCTGGACAATAGTTTAATATATTCATTCAACAAATATCTATTGAGTGTCTACAAAGTACCAGATGCTACATCAGCTGCTGAAAATACATTTAGGCTTAAAATAGACACAAACCCATAAAAAACTTCATAAAAAGCCAGAATCACTAACTCCACAATATAGTCTATCAAACAGAAGAGCCTCAATTATAAATGTTATTGTATTGAATTCTTAAAAAGAAAATAAATGTACTCATGAACATAAAAGTTCGATAAGGAAGAATGTTATGAAAGACACAAATGATGTCTCTGGGTCTATTGAAAAGGCATCTTTCCATCTGAGACCAGAAGGAGAAAGTGAAGGGATGGATAATGTTTCTGTAAGAGCAAAACTGCAAACATGACTGAATTTTAACATCTGTTTAAATATTTAAAATATCTGGTGTGTTGTTTTTAAATGAAAATGCTTGTTTGACCTCTTTTAGTTTCTTAGTTACAAACTCAACTATTACTTGTCTCCACAGATTCCTTCTTCATCCACGGTAACAGTTTTCACGGAACAGGTGGCCGTGGAAACAAGTTCGCACAGATGCGTTATACTTTACGACTCCTCAGAGCCATGGTTTATCTTGAAGATGAGACTGTAAACACGGATCTTTGTGAAAAGGGGGTTATTCATCAGCTAATAGGTAAAGTATCGCATGGCAGCTCACTGGGGGAAGTAGGGTGTTTGTAATTCTGGATGTTTCATGTGAAGTATTTTCCTACAAACTGATTTTATGAATGAGTGTATCCTGAAAGTTTTCCTGGCTTTTGTTTCATCTCGTTGATGTCAATCAGTTCTCTTTTTACTGAAATATCATAATCAGTAATCCTATAAACATTTATTTCCTCAGTTTAGAGATGTTCATTAGCATAACTATTGTTATGTTTCATTTTTGTGGTACTGATATTGCCATTTCTGGCCAAGTGTAATAGAGCCATTTTCATTGAAGATGCAGTCACATCTTCTAGTCCATTCAGAACACTGAAATGCTGGTGCACAGAGACCAGAATCCAGGAGTCTCTTTCCTACTGTAAATACTAGAGAATTTATGAATTTCAACTTCCAGTTCAAGCTGCTTTGCCCTTTATTATTTAAAAAGTACATAGTCCCAGCCCTCTCTTTCCTGTTTGCAAATACAGTGTTTGTGTAAATATGCTTTCTCCTTAGACAGAGGTTAGAAACTGTATCAGACAGAATTCTAGGGAACCTTGGCCTGATCAGAACAGAAGAAAATAGCATGTCTTATCCTGTACCCTCAGCTGGTCATCTAATGAGTAGCATGAAATAACATTCAGAGGCTAATATTAAATAAATTGTTTGGCCAATGGCTCAGACATCACTTGCTAGCTCTCTCTTATAAATTAACCCATTGTATTAATCTATGTATTGCCACAATGCTGTTGCTTACCAATGACATGCCAGCATGTTACTCCTTCAGTGGCTACATTGTATCTCCTGTCTTCTTTCTCTCTGTATCTTTGTTTGGATTTCCTGTTTGGCTGTATTCTGCCCGGCCATTGATCAAAACAGCTTGATTCATCAACCAATAAAAACAACATATATTCACTGCATCCCATATCTCCCCTCTGAGCACAGGGTGTCCCCACCCCACACTACAGACCCCTCTGATAATGGGGTGTCCCCACACTAGAGACCCCTATGAGCACAGGGTGTCCCCACACTATAGAACCCTCTGAGCACGGGGTGTCCCCACACTAGAGACCCCTCTGAGAGTGAGGTGTCCCTACACTGACTCTCCAGCAGGTTTAGCCCTCCTCCTTGGAGTCCCATCGGTCACCCTTCATCCTAAGAAGATAGTTCCATAGTGCCAGCTGTGACAAAAGACTCTAGCTTGCTGCTAGTGATGGTGTCTTCTTTACCAGTGGAAAGAATTCCTAAATTCTTAAAGCCTAAAGGAAATGCCTCCTAAGACAATTTCTATTGTGAATGTCATTTGTTCCGTGATAACTACTGCTAAGTCATTTTCAGGCTTGATTACAAGGGGAGGATTTTTAAATCTGTCAGCCTAAAGCTATGGCGTTTTCTCTTCATATAGAAGATACAGAAAGAAACAGCAGCTAGAACACACAGAGAGGTCCCCCAAATTTGTTACCAGTTAACCACAAAGAAAGGACAACCTACAGTCAGACATTTTTTTCAAGACAGATTTTTTTCTGTGTAGTCCTATTTGTCCTGGAACTCACTCTGTAGACCAGGCTGGCCTTGAACTCACAGAGATCTGCCTGCTTCTGCCTCCCGAATGCTGGGATTAAAGGTGTGCACCACCACTACCCAGCTACAGTTAGATGTTTTGATAATGAATTTACAGAAGTATATGTCCCTTGTGAAACTACATTTTTTTTTTAACTTTTTAAATTTTTCTTTGTGTCTTTCACTCATGCATCTCAGTCCCCATTCCAGCCGGGTGGTGGCACACGCTGCACCTCTGTCTATAGGGTCAACTCTGCTGTGCTGCTGAGTGCTCCCTCTTCCGAGTGCTGCAGTGCTGAGGGGTTGGGTAAGATCCTCCTCCTGCTGTAGGTGTAGAGGACAAGCAGGGAGGACATCTTTTCCTCACCCGTACCACCACAGGGCAGATGGGAAGGGTGTGACCTGTCCTCCCATTCTTAAGCCATCAGGGCCACCTCACCTGTGTCTCTGTGAACAAGGTCAGCTCCGTTGTGCTGCCCAGGTGAGGAATAGCGCTCACTCCTGAGGGCTTCAACCAGTGAGGGACAGGTCCAATTCTCCCTAGTATTGCAGCCAGTGAGGGCCGGGGCCAACTGTAAGGTTATCTCTCGGCCTTGGGTGATATCAGGAGCCATGGACATCAACAGAAACAGCAGCTGCATCAGGGCTGTGAACCCAGACATGGGCCCCAGCCCAGGCCCAGACATCACCATGGTGCTGGGGACAATCAAGTCACTCACCTCAGCCGCTCCTCACCTCTTTCTCCTCTTCAGATATGTCTCTGTCCACAGGACATAAACCAGTCTGTCTCTCCCGTACCACAGCACACATTTGCTCACCATAGGATTACCCATCGGTCCAGCAACACAAGGTGTCAGGTGGGCCTGTGCCTTCTCTTCTGAGCCCGGGGTAGACAAGCCCAGACCTGCGTGTGGACCTCCTTGTTGCTCAGTCTGTAGTGGAGCTGGACAAGCCCATTCTTCCTCAGCACAAAGATATCATAATAGCGCCTAACTGCCTGGCACTTCTGGTTGGTGCAGAGGTGTTGCTGGAGTCTTCTTGCAGGCTGGGGTTAGCCCCCTCTCCCCCCACCCCCGACTGTGTTTGGTTGAGTTCTGACTGCTGCAGCTGCGTGGCATGGGGTGGGGAGTGTTGCTCAAAACTACATGTTATTAAACAAAATTTGTTGGTCAAAATATTAATGTTACGCCAAGTTCCTGAGACCCTAAAAAGACCACCAAGGAGCTGACTCACCAATGAAAATGCATAAAGTTTATTGTTAAATTACCAGCCTCGGCAGGGACCCTGTCCTGCAAACTGACACAGCGGCTGCAGGAAAAGGGTGCCTGGCCTGGATTTCAAGGGTTTATAAAGGAAAAACAACCACAAGTAGGGTGGTGCATGCCTTGGCTGTTCAGGATTGGGTTCATTGACGTGGGGACTAAGGGAATTTCAAAATTGTTACTAACGGTTTCCCACAAGGACAGTTGTTGTGAGAAGATGTTATTTGCCAAAATCAATCATTGCCTGATCACCCCAGATGGGGTCACTTTGACTGGGGTGGGCACAGTTTGGGTGCTCCTTGGAACTGTTTATGGTTCCTTGGCTGGAGCTGAATCAGCCTTGTGCCACACAGGGAATTTCTCAAAGTGGCTTTTTCTGAGGATGGAGTCCATCCTCTCCAGTTTACCTTGCTCTTACAATGAAGTTGTTAGGACATCATTTAGTGACATTCTACTAATTCTGTACTAACATTTCTGCGTGAATAACACTGACAATTATATTAAGGTATTCTATATCTACAGACTGTATATGTATGTATGTAGAAATTCTTTGTGAGACGGCTGACTTAAGTGCTTATGAAATCCATTTTCCACCCTCTGTCCATAGCTTCTATGCAATGAAAACAGCCCCATTTATAGTAAAATAGTTTCCCCACCTGAAGATTCTTCTTAAAGGGGAGTTTCCTAGCAGTAAATAATCAAAAATGCATTGAGTAACTACATTCTTCAATTTTTCCCATGCTAGGGATCTTTAAAAATATGGCAAGCAAACCCGATGATAAGGAAGAGGCCATTGCCTTGGAGATTCAGTCTGACGCCTTGCTCATCCTGTCGGGGCTCTGCGAGCATTATATCCAGAGGAAGGTGTGTGAAGCCTCTGAGCCTGTACTGCAGGTCTCCCAGCCTCCTAATGGTACCCACTCTCTTAGGTGTCCATGAATGTTACCTCTTTCCTGATCCTGTAAACTGTGGGCTGCTGGTATGGCTCAGCAGTTAACCACACTGCTGCTAAGCTAAGCCTGACAATTGAGTCTTAATTATTTACCCATTTCTATAAATCCATGTATTTCCACATGGCCTTGGCTTACCGGAGAACTTCGGGACCTGTTAACTCCTTTGGCAGCTACATGGCATCTCCTTGCAGTGCCTTTCTGCCTACCTTCCCAGAATTCTCCTCTCCTAGTCCCATCTGTCTTCCTGCCTCTATTGGCCAAACAGTGCTTTACTCAGCAACCAATAAGAGAAATATATATACAGAAGGACATCCCCCAACACTTCTGTGTGTGTTTTCTGTTATCCAAAAAGAAATGGGTATTTCTGAAATATATTCATATTGTTGCATATATCATTCCTTTTTATTGCTCAATGGTATTCTATGAACCATCAGCATCTGTATATGATGTTTCTTATTATTAGGCACTTAAGCTGTTTCTATTTGGATGGGTTAAACTAAAGTTTCAGGGAATATTCTCGACCTTGTCTTTTGGGGGATATAATGCTTTCATTTCTTCTGAGTCAAAACCTAGTAGTAGAATTACAAGACCTAAAGTAGCCAAACAGCTTTCCATCCTAGGCTGTAGTGTCAGAAATATCACTTGGAGTTTGAAAACTGGAACTTCAAAACAAGAGTTTAATTCCCTTTGATACTTATTAGCTTCATAGAAACTATTGAGTTCATAAGTTGACAATTTAGATAGGAAGAGATAGGACTGGAGAAATAAAAATTAGTGATTTAGACTTTTACGTTTTTTAGACTTACGTGCTTTATGTGATGAGTGTTTTGCTCACAAGCACGCCTGTATACCATGTGCATGCCTGCTACGCAAGGCCAGAAGAGGCTGTGGCCCCCTGGAACTGCAGCTGTGGGTGCTTGTGAGCTGCCATGTGGGTGTTGGGAATCGAATCTGGGCCCTCTGAACAAAACAAGTGATCTGAATTGCTGAGCTGTCTCTCTAGCTCCATGGTAGAGTTTTCAGGAGAGGCAATAGGAAGAAAAAAATGGTTTAGTTCTGAACCTTGGCATATAATGTACTATTCTTTTCTGTCCTGTGCCTGCTCGTCTAGAAAAATAATCTGGATCTAAATGGGAACTAGAACAGAACAACATGGCAGTGAGAAAAATAAATGGTATGGGGAAAAGACTGAGAGGCAATAATTTCATGTAAATCACGAAAAGCTTAGTGGCCATCATCTACTTATTCCTATTTTGAGAACATTATAACATCCTCCATCATGCATACTGATGCCTGCTCTTCATTTGGCAGGATGCCAGGTTGCATTCACTTTAATGTGGAAAAAGTCATGGGCAAGTTTTGCATGATTTACATTATTCAGACACAGAAAAATTTCTCATTACTAAGAAAAATTACTGTTAACCTAGCACATTTTATACCCTCTTAAAGTGGTTGACATTATAATAATTTATCATGAAAAACTAGGAATGAATGAGTACAATTTTAAAAAACTACTTTTTAGACTATTTATTTATTTTATGTGTATGAGTGTTTTGCTTCTGTGTATGTACATGTGTGCCTGGTGCCCTCAGATCTCAGGTGAAGGTTTCAGATTGTGGGTGAATGTGAGCTACCATGTTCTGGGACTTGAACCCATACCCTCTGGAAGAGCAACAAGTACTCTAAACTGCTGAGCCACTCCTCCAGCTCCAAATGAGTGCAATTTTTTTTCTTTATTCTATTCCATTTATTTTACTGGGTTTTTTTTCTCCAGATTTATTTTGGTAAAAAAAATCAGATATAACCTTTCAAAAATTACATTAATGTTTAATATGCGAGTGCAATTTTTAATTGTATTAAAATTCCTAGTTTAGAAACTAGCAAATCTAGCTTGTAAACAACCAAACCATTGCTAGCATTATTTTTCTGATAGGAAAAAAAACAAAAACAAAAACATAAGAGCTAGGATGAGGTAAAGAAGAGAACAATTGTATATTTATTCCAAGAAATAATGTAAATTACTCTCTTTAACAGGAAATATTTGGAACTGAAGGAGTTGACATAATTCTTCACGTAATGAAAACAGACCCCAAGAAGTTACAGAGTGGCTTAGGCTACAATGTTCTTCTTTTCAGTACCTTAGACAGCATTTGGTGAGTATTACTATGACCAAGTGAACACCTCAGCATAAGAAAATTATAGTTACAGCTACTAGCTTTCTCCCCTCAAAATCACACTAGAGGGATAAGTTGGTGTCTTCTCTATTTAGATGACCTAAATATGAGTTTGAAAAGTAACTAAGCCTATCACTCAAGTAGAAAAGCCACTTGTTTCAAAACTCAATAGATTGCTGTGCTCTAATCCCATTCCACTTTGGTGTCAGCTAGGAAAACATAAGCATCCCTTTCCTTATGTAGCTGCTGCTGCCGCTGCTGCCTTGGCTCTCTGAGGCACTGTGCTCTGTTCCACTGGCATTCTTCTAGCCTTCCTATGATCTCATGTTGTTTAAATAATTGTACCTTTAACATATATCTGGACATTTGATACAACAATTTCTTTTCCTTGTTCTTTGTTCTTCTTAGCTTTTGTTGATAATTTAGACGCACTAATGTTATCAGAGTTCTCCAGAGAAATAAAATTAATAGGAGTTATATAGAGAAGAATATTTGTTATAGGAATTGGCTCAGTTATAAAGGTTGGAAAGTTCTAAACTGAAAAAAAAATAAAGCTAAACATCTGACTTTGCTTCTTTTCCAATTGCTGTGTCAAAATACCCTGCACAAAAGCCCCTTAAGAAAGAAGAGGTTTGTTTTAGCTCCTAATTCCAGGTTCCAACCCATCACTGAAGGAGATGTCAAGGTGTCAGGCATTTGAAGCAACTAGTCACATTACATCCACAGTTAAGAGCAGACAGAGAATAAATGCATGCACGTTTGTGCTCAACTGGTTTTTTTCCACTCTTAGATAGCCCAGGGAATGGTGCTACGCATAATGGATGGGTCTTCTCACCATAGATAACGCAATCGACATAATCCCCACAGACTTGCCCAAGCCAACCTGGTCTCTTGTTTTCAAAAGGAAGCAATATAAAACCAATGGACAGAGGAAGCTATCATTAATGCTTGGAAGAAACAGATAAAAGTCTGTTACTAATGACTACCATAGTTCCCGGCTATTGGTGATAGCTTAGACAGCCTGCTAAGGAAACTCCTGAGGAAAAGAGTAGAAGTATCCTTGGAAGGGTTCCAGCCCCTCACTCCATGCAGTCCACATGGATTTGAATAGTAGGCACTCTAGCAAATGTCAACTGCAAGGATAAATGTGATCAAGAATTATCAAAGATTTTAGCTGTGCCAAATGGTGAAAGAAATGATAAACATTTATATTTGTAAATGCAGTTATTACAGCAACTATGGGTCTTTAACAATCACCAACGTCATGAAAGCAAAGGAAGAAGTTGCACCCACAAAGAAAATTGTCGAGAATTAATTGGTATTAGTCTTTAGAAAAAATTTGTAAAAGTGCGTGTTGCTCTTCCAGAGGACCCGAGTTAGTTTCCCAGCTCTAGATCAAGTGACTTATAACTGCCGGTAACTCCAGCTCCAAGGCACCAGACACCAGCCTTTAGCCTATACACACACACACACACACAATCTTGAAAAAAATAATTGAAAGTGAACTACACTTATATAGCTTCTTCAGTGTTTTAAATTTTAAAGTAAAAACAAAGTAGTTACTTGATTTAAAGGAATAAAGTAAAAGCCTGGACTAGCAATGCTATGATAGGAAGAAGGGTCTACAAGTTAAATCTAATGACAGATGTTTGAGGAATGACTGAATTTCTTTTCATTGAAGGTGCTGCATTTTGGGATGTTATACTTCTGAAGATTATTTTCTTGAAAAGGAAGGAATTTTTCTCCTTTTGGATATATTGGCAGTAAGTAATGTCACAACACTCTAACACAAAAGATAAATAGATGTCTATGCAAACCTTTCCCAGACCAAGTACCAGAAAATAGTGCTTTGTGAATAAATGTGCCCCCAATCATGTGCAGCTAGCTATATTGATGATTGTTTCTTTGTTTGGAATTTGGTGTTTTGATATAGGATCTCTCTCTCTCCATGTACTCCTAGCAGTCCTAAAACTCACTGTATAGATCAGGCTGGCCTTGAACTCACAGAGATCTTCCTATCTCTACCTCCTGAGTGCTGGAATTAAAAGCATGTGCCACCACACCCAGACAGATAAATACATTGGTTTAATTAAAATCCCTCCTGGAGATTATGAATCATTAGCATAGTAAGAATTCTGAACATTCCTCCAGTTAAGACATAAGTTTATAGAGGTCAATGTTCCCAAACATAGGTGAGCAGACATTTTTCCTACTACTCCATCAACCTGCCAAGAAACAGTTAGTTTTGTTCTTTGACAATTCCTTGCATATATATAATGCAACCCCTTTACTCTTAGCCCTCACCCTCTCTTTCCTCCTTTCTGTCTTGTCATCATCCCCTCCCCCTATAAATCTCTTTCCCATATTTGTGGAAATGTTTTTGGTTTTGTGACCCATTGGTTTTAATTAGGGCTATCTATATGGTCACAGATTAGTTGAATCCGATGACGCCTGGTAGAATCAAGATTGGGTACACAACTGAAGACAACGCCTGGCCTTCCCAGAATCCATCAGTAACCAGTAGCTCAGCACGGAAGGGTAGGGCCCCATGGGCACATCTCTGATCTCTGGTTGGTTGTTGACAGCCCCAGTGTAGGCAAAATGGCTACTGTGAGGTATGTTTGCAATGGCTGTCATGTTCTGAAGATAGTATTTTGCAGCCCTTCTTCTTACAATATCTCTGTTTCCTTTGCCTTGATGTTCCCCGAGCCTTAGAGGGGATGACATGTATATCCACTTTAGAGATGAGTACACAGCTATCACTTATTGCCAGCACTTTGAGCAGCTATGAATGTCTGTATTCATTACTACAAAGAAAAGATTCTTGATTTAAGAATGAAGAGCATTGGCCTATGGATATAAACATCAATGTTTAGAATATAGTTAGACACCATATTACTTTAGCTAAACAATAGTAATAAATTACCCCTAGGGCATATGTTCTTTTCAGCCATGATTGCTATCTGGGTTTATAGTACCTCCTGTGAATGCCTCAGATTCAATCTAGGAGTTGTTGGTTGCCCCATAAAAGTTGTACCAGTATTGTCCTGGTAGAAACATCTTGCTTGGCATGTTAACATTGTAGTTTGTAGTCTTCACATCTGGGAAAGACCACTGATACCTTTTCTCCCCTCACAGCATGCATAGGGGCTTCTGGCACTGTCAGCCAGCAGGTTGGAAGTTTCAAATCAGTTCTAGCTTGATTTCTCTACATCTTGGAACCAAGCTGTATGGTGTCTTAAGCAATGGGATCTTATCTTCTGGGTCTGGTGAGCAAGCAGGAGTCCATAATGTTTTTGAGGATCTCTGGGGCCTACTGGCCAGCTACTCATGAAGGGTGCTACACTCTTCCTGGGACTTCAGTTTAATAAACAGAGGTTTCTAGAAGCTGCCTTATCCAGCCATTCAGATAGCCCCATCTAACTTTCTAAAACATGGTTTTAGGGCTTTTTGTAGATTTATTTTATGTAATTGAGTGTTTTTCCTGCATGTATATATGTGCATCATGTGCCTTCCTAGCGCCACAGAGCTCTGAAGAAGCCGTAGATCCCCTAGAGCTGTGCTGTGGATGTCTGTGAGTTACCATGTGGATGGTGGGAGTCAAATCTGAGTCATCTGCAAGAACAATTGTGCTTAACCCCTGAGCCATCTAGCCAGCCTCTTAACGTGTCTTAATCGGCTTACAAAATAGTAGGGTTCCATTTCATACACCCCTCATTTTGGTCGGCCTTTCCTTTCTACCCTTCATCACCCCTTCCCATACCCCCATCTTTTCTTTCTCCTTCCTCTCCAGTATTCCCCTTCTCTTTCATTATAAGCCTCCCTCCTAAGTCCCAGCTGGCACTTTTCTAGTTCGCTAACTTCTACAGGTCCAAGTTAAATACGTAAATCTGAAGTTTCAAAGTTAAGATTGGCAGGGCGTTGGTGGCTCACACCTTTAATCCCAGCACTGGGGAGGCAAAGACAGATGAATCTCTGTGAGTGCAAGGTCAGCCTGGTCTACAGAGGGAGTTCCAGGACAGCCTCCAAAACAATACCCAGAATCTCTGTCTCGAAAAACCAAAAAAAAAGAAAGAAAGAAAAGAAAACATTAAGATTGGATGGGGTTTTCTACATCTAAATTTTATATTTTGGTTAAAAAAATATGTATGCTTGATGATAAGAGAAATTTTCTTTAATTCTTGAAAGTCCTTATATAGTTACTGATAGAGTACAAATTTACACATCTATTTAAGTTTTTTCACATTTGACTGTCATGGTTGCATCAGTTGTTCTCTTGATAACAGTGTAGTTGATAATAATCTTTCCAAACCTTCATAAAGGATATAAATGGGGACGATCCTGTACTCACAGTGAACTGTCCCTGATCACTACACTTATACGTATATTCTTTTCTTTTTTGAAAACTTCTTCCATTTCCACCAAACGAATAAATTTTTACTATGAAGTGTGTTTATGACTACTTAAGAATTATATTGAATCTCTTTATTGTTTTAAGTTTTAATATTTGAGAATGCTCATGAATGACTTACTGGACATTGTCACCATCAGAGAGCTCAGAAGGAACAGGCTGATAATCCAAGTGTCTCTTTCAGTAAGACAATCATTCTTAGTATTCATTACCATTTTTGTCATTTTCTGTTTCCTCACAAAGTTGAACCAAAAGAAATTCTGTAATCTGATACTTGGGATAATGGTTGAGTTTTGTGATAATCCCAAAACCTCTGCTCATGTCAATGCTTGGCGAGGGAAGAAAGACCTAACTGCTGCTAGTCTCTTAATTAAACTGTGGAGAAAGGAGGAAAAGGAACTAGGAGTAAAACGTGATAAGAACGGCAGGATTGTTGGTAAGTGTGTTCATCGCTTTTGGTAGAAACAATTAAGGGTGTATCTGTAGAGTTTTAAAGAATATAGGAATTGAGGATACTTACCCCATTTTTATGGGGTTCTTCCAACAAGTTACTGAAGACTTTCTATCATAAATTGTGAATAATTGGAGTTTGTCAGTTAAGTGCTTGGAGGACCAGAGTTCTACCTTAAAACCACAAAAAAGAAAGAAGAATAAAAGCTAGACATAAACCTAGCTCTAGGGAGGCAGACTCATCCCCAGAGCTCACAGTCAGGCCCACAGAACCACATATCCCAGGCCAGTAGCAGGCTCTGTCTCAGGAACAAACAAACAAAATAGAAGAGTAAACAAAATATATATTCTCTCTCTTTCTCACAATAAAGTAAGAAATTGTGAATAATTAGAATTAGAAGAAAGTTAAGTAAGTTAGTAGTGGGTTCATTTTTTATAGAATATTTTAAAACATGATATTTAACTATACTCTTTAACTCAGAAATTAATGATACTTCTTAAATAAATCTATTGGGATTTCTTGCTTTTATAATTAGGTTTGATGTTTCATTTAGCAACAAGACAATACATAAGTGAACTGTTTGACTACAGTCTTTGTAGTATTCTGTGCACTGGTGTTTATGTATTTTCCTTCTTACAGAAAAGAGATTGTTTTCTAGTAAAATTAAGTCAAATGTTCATCAATATAAGTGCCGAGGTCTAATGAGGATGAAAGAATCAGTGTGTGATTGACTTGTAGAGTCTGATCACACTCTAATTGTCTTTTAGTAAAAAACTATTATTAATGTCTGCAATTAAATAGCAATACTCACACTTCAAATGATTTCTGTCTCTAATCCCTTTTTAGTATCTGAGTTTTAAACCAAAACATTATGAAACAGCTTTTCTGTTTATGACATAATTTATAGAAAGAAGCAAAATTGTCGCATTACTATTGATCTGACATCATCCCATCTCTGTAACTTTAACAAAATTTCTACATTGAATTTTCATCTTTAGAGAAGATATGACTGTAGGCTGGAGAGAGGGCTCAGCAGTTCAGAGTGCTTGCTACTCATCTAGAGGATCTGAGTTTGAATCCCAGCAGCCAGGTCAGAGGGCTCACAATTGCCTGGGCTACCAGGTTCTGAAAGCCAGCACCCTCCTCTGGCCTCCACTGGCACTCCCTCCCATACAAGAGGCATGCACAGACCCAGACATGCACACATACATAAAATTAAAGTATGTCTGTGAAGTTTTTCCCTTTTGAGACAGGGCCCCTCTATGTAGCCCCTGTGTCCTGAAACTCTGTATGTAGACCAGGCTGACCTCAAACTTGCAGATGTTCACTGCTTCCCACATGCCGGGATGAAAAGTATGCACCGTTATGCCCAGAGTAGCTATAATTTTTTACCTTACATAAATAAGAAAAATGAAAGCTATAAGTTTTGTCACACAATGAGAAAAATTTACTGACTTTGCTCTCAAAGTCGTAGCCATGGTCTGACAGTGTAGCCGTATATCAGTGATAAAGTGCTTGCTTACCAGTCCCAGGATAGATTCCCAGAACTTTAAAAAAGAAATTACAAGGCACTATATTTTTGTTTTAATTTTTAAATATATATGTTTCGATCCATGTTATATTGGAACAAAATGTCAAATATTCACTGTAGCTTTTAATCTCTTTCTTCTGTTTCATGATACCAAATAATTAGATACAAAGAAACCTCTGTTTACTAGTTTTCAAGAAGAACAGAAGATCATGCCCCTTCCTGCTAACTGCCCATCTGTTGCAGTTATGGATGTCGCTGAGAATATCAGAGCAAAAATTTATGCTGTGTTGGGAAAACTAGGTAAGAAGCCCCTGAAACTCACAAGTTTCGGTGATGAGTGTTGCTGCAGAGGCCATGTGACACACATGAATAAAGTTCCCTCGTACAATAAATATATGCTCCCTCATGATCTCTTATAACTGTGGCCAGGGTGTAATAAATATGAGAGTAAAAGTTAGAATTTTGGAACGTGAAGTCAAAGAACAGTTCTTTTTAGCTTCCCAGGCAATTTCAGTGGGTAGCAGGACCCTGAGCTGTTAGGCTTGAGCACTAACATTCGGAATCATCTTTCTATTAAGGAAAAAGTTCTCGTTTGCTCTCTAGCTTCTGACCATGGTCCAGAAAGCATGAGTTCTTTGACTGTGTAAGGACAGCCTGTGGAAGGGTTTGTCATGGAGGTGTGTTTTTGCATTTGTTTTTATGTTAAAAATAGGAATATTGAAACCACTTTCTCCTATTAAAATAATTCTCTCTGAACACTTTGATAGATTTTGAAAACTTACCTGGCCTATCTGCTGAAGATTTTGTCACCCTGTGTATAATACATAGATACCTTGATTTTAAAGTAAGTACTTTTAATAACTTAAAATCCATTTTATCAAAAATAAATTGGAAAATAAAAGATGTGTCCATAACTAGAATAATTGTTCACATCACTCTAATGTTATTTTTCCATTTTTTGTATGATTATGATACAAAACCAAAACCTTTTGGATTTCTTTCATGAGACGATATTTTATTCAACTGACAGAGCCACATGCTTCATAGACATACGACAGAGTAGTTGTACATATAAACTGTATAAACAGACCAGCAGCTGTGACTGCATGCACAAAACCTGTACATGAGAGAACCAAAGTCCCAGCAGGGAGGTGGTGAGAAAACCCCGCCCTGGCTGAGGAGCTGTTGCCATGCTCCAGTAGATGGCCCTGTACCCTTACATATGCTTCCACTACCAAATGGGCTCCACGGGTTGACTGTTCTAAAAAAGAGCACATGAAGTTTAGAGGGACTCCTGGGGCGGTGGCTAGTAGAGGAATAAGAGGAGAGGAACAGGGGTGGACTTGATAGATATGTTGGATGCATGTATGAAATTCTCGGTCAGCCCAGCTGTCAGCTTGTAAGAAAAGGTGAATATTACAGAGTCATTCTGAAGCCTAACAGGAGTTTAGCAATCTTTACTGTTTGGAAAGCGGTAGAACCAGAACTAAGTAAGTTACTTTATGCCATATCAAATCTCACGTAAAAGTGACTAGGTTGCTTCCTTGTCTGCTAAATGAACTCAGTAAATAAATGTCTATGAAGTCTCAGGAAAACCTTCTGAAGTACATTTTGTTTCTGCTGCTATTACGCATTTAGATATTGTAAATGAAGAGGTCTTTTTTCAAATGAACACAAAATTAAGCTGTATTCCTATTTAGATGATAAGACAGTTTCTCTAGTTTTCAATGTAACTTAGTACCTTATTCTCAGAATATGAAGTGGAGATTTTAGCGTGATGAAACTGTAGTTGAAAGCTTGAGAGTCAGTTATATGCCTTTGTTAACAGGATCCCAGTTCTAGGAGTCACATGTCCCAGGGTCCTTTGTTCCTCCAGATTCAGCATGACCTAGCCTTCAGCAGAGGGCTGAAGGAGTAATAGCATCCACACTTCAGAAAGCCAAGCTTGTTCTGCAGTTATGAAATGAAAGTAACTATAAGCCAGAATACCCAAATGTAACAGGGGCCCACATCATTCGCAGCACATCTAACTTATTCCCAAGAAAGAAGTTAGGAAAAGCTTAAACATCAACAAGATGACCACTGCATAAGGAATTATGTAAAACTGTTTCATTTACTTTCATCTATTTAAATTTCTCAACTTAAACTTTGCCATGACAGATTGGAGAAATATGGAATGAAGTATGTGAAGAAATAAAATTGGAACACTTAAAACTAGTTGCTTCAGATAAAATGTCTTTGGAATCTATTACAGCAGCAACAGAAAACATTGGAAAGATGGTTGCTACCCTTCAAAGTGAGATGATTGAAAGCCAAGCACACCAAGATGTGCAAAATGAGCAGAGGGTGTATGCAAAGGTAAGCCCAGGATTCCTTTGAACGTCTGAGGCACAGTTGTTAATTTCAGTACATAAAGTAGATGAAGTTATCCATAAAATAGACTTGTCTTATTTGTGAATATTTCAACATTGGATTATTTTCCTTTCCCTAAAGTTATGTTCAATGTCTTTGCACAATTTTAAAAGAAACTATGGAGTTAAGAGTTTAAAATATAATCACTATTGCTAACGTTGGTTTTGCATTGTAATTTCTTGATTTCGTGTATATATATATATATATATATATATATACATATATATATATATATACAGTATGGTAAATGCTTGTTTACACATTTATGTGCATGGAGGTTTGTATGTAAATGTGAAAGCCAGGTCAGGAGGTGCCTTTAATCCCAGCAGTCGGGAGTCAGAGGCAGATGGATTTTTGTGAGTTCAAGGCCAGCCTGGTCTACAGATCGAGTTCCAGGATAGGCTCCAAAGCTACACAGAGAAACTCTGTCTCACAAAACAAACAAAAAAGTGAAAGCCGGAGGTGAACATTCAGTATTTTTCTTAATCACTCTCCACAAGGTCTTTCTCTCTCTCTGAACCCACAGCTCACCGATTCAGCTTAATTGACAGCCAGAAAGTCCCAGAGATCCTCCTGTCTCTTCCTCATCAGTGAAATTACAGACATAAGCCACCTTACCATACCTCCAGGTTCTGGAGATGTACATTCAGGTCTGCACGTTTGCACAACAAGCAATTTACTGGCTGAGTTATCTCCTCAACCCTGGAAATCAATTTCCATGCTCTTATTTTTTGTACAATAAAGAGATGCCTGATACACTTAATTCTTTGACATGCCCAACAGGGTTCTAAAAGTTGTGATCTGCTTAAATATATACTAATAAAGGGGGGGCTGGAGAGGTGGCTCAGTGGCTAAGAGCACTGGCTGCTCATCTGGAGGACCTGAGTTCAATTCCCACTACTCACATGGCTGCTCACAGCTGTCTGTAACTGCAGTTCCAGGGGATCCAACATCCTCAAACAGACATGAATGCAAGCAAAACACCAATGCACATAAAATTAAAAATTAAATATATACTTTTAATATATGCTGGCAGTTTATCTGTTATGGAGTACATAACTTCATAGAAAGATAAAATTATCTTTGACACCTCATTCTGTCATAGATCTTTACTGTTTTGCCATCTATAGGCTTATCCATCCATCAGCTTCATCCTCACCTCAATTCCAAAACATTTATGAGCATTGATTCTATACATGCTTACGTAAACTGGTTTGACTTTAGCTAAACAGAGAAGTCAGCCATGAAAATAGCAGCCTTTGCCCTAAAACTTTGCACTGATGAGAAACTGCAACATGGTTTGTTTGTTTGATCAACTAAGAGGCATTTAAACAATGTTACCCATAGACACAGGGATGTCACCACTTCGTCCTGGTTCTCTATAACTACAGTTAAACACTTATGGCTCCTTGAGATGATCTCCAAAGTGTTGTCGTTCCACATAGACTACTGAATGTTTGATTCTGCAGCTTAGGACCTGTGTCTGTTCACTGGTGGACTGCCACTCCACAGCTAATTGCTTCCAAGTTTTGCTTGCATGAAGTTTTTATGCCATGAGTACTGCTATAAGCTGGTTGATCTGCTCAGAACTGGGAGGACAAGATGGAATGTTCTTTTGCATTACAGAACCTTTGCCATTTTGACTGAATATTTATTGTCATATGTCTGTCCCCACTTTTTAAAGCAGTTCTTAAGTATCCCTAAGAATATTGTATTTATAGTAGTATTATGGATATGTACCAATGGCACGTGTCCTCTGACTAAACAATGGAGAGCCTATTAAGAAATACGGAGTTGTTGGTTAGTGGTTACCCTTCCAGACTGCAGTACCACACCAACCTGGTGCTCTCACTTTGTTGTAGTCACAGATTAAAAGTAGTTTTGCCAATATAACTGGCTAAACTAATGATCAGTGGCAGCAGAACCTCTTTATTTTCACCTGTGAATTTCTCTTTAAATCCTGCCTTGAGAGAGAATCTGGACATAATGTCTTCATAGACAGGAACTATGGGAAGCACCCAGTCCTGCCGAGAATGCTCATTATTAAAATGTTCGCAGCAGTTTGTGTTACGTGATGTGGAAAGTAGATCAAACTTGAACCACAGAGAGAATAACCTTTTTCATGTTAAGGCTTGGGTTTTGTTTGCTTTTTGAGGCAAGGTTTCTATGTAGCGCTGGTTGTCCTGGAACTCCCTTTGTAGAGCAGGCTAGCCTAGAACGGAAAGGTTTCTGCTTATCTCTGCTTCCAGCGTGCTCAGATTAAAGGCTTGCACCGGCATTCCCAGCAGTACTTGTTTTTGGAATTATGTTATAAATTTCTTTTTTAGGCAGCCTCAAATTAGTCCGTCTCACTTTAGTCAGCAAAATGGAGGCACTTCCTTTAACATGGGGACTTCCAAGCCTTCCGGTGTGTTCAGAAACTGAAAGCCCTAATTTTCTTATTTGTTTCAGATACAGGCCACACATAAGCAAAGGGAATTGGCTAACAAGTCCTGGGAAAACTTCTTGGCTAGAACATCAAATGCTAAAACACTGAAGGTAGGATTTTTAAAGCATCATCAGTATACACAACACCAGCCAGTCTTAAGGACAGCTTTGTTGTTTTGTTTTGTTGATGTTTGGAGACTGAGTATTCCTTTCCCACAATGCTCTGTAGGATACTACCTCCATTAGATCCGTACCTGCTTCTTAGACTGACAACAGAAAGCATTTACAAGTGAAAATTGCTGCTTTGCTTTTCACTTGACTTAACACTAGGAAGCCAGGTTCTTGTTCCTGAACAATGAGATGATGATAGCCAGGAGGAAGCCAGGGAGAGCTGGGCCCTACTGTCCATTCTGAACCTTCCTGTAAGGATCCCATTTCTCTAAGCAGAGCTGTGAGGAGCAGGAAGTAAATGTACCCTCTCTCTAATGACTATCTATCTATCATATTTTGCTAGCAGTTAATACTGTTTTCTTTCTAATTTAAAAATCTTCAGAAAGCAAAAAGGCTCCAGGAAAAGGCTATAGAATCCTCTAAATACAGTGAACGACCAAAACATGCAACATTTCACCAAACAGTTATTAAAGGTCTTAACACAACGGTAAGATCATTTTTCCCCACATCTCTTTCTTAATAGATAATGAACTTTGGACTGCCAAAATGATATTTCTATGGGAACTTTTGCCTCGTATATTTAGGTTTTGTTCAAATTTTCCATCATTAAAGCATATCTCCAAAAACACTCCTCCTCTCCCCCCCCACTCCCAGTGCTAGGTTAGAACAGACACAGCCCCCCCATTCCCAGTGCTAGCTTAGAACAGACACAGCCCCCCCCCCCCAGGTTTCTCAAGGAGTAGTTGCAGTGCTGGTTAGTGCATTGGTGTATCTTGCTTGCAGGATAAGCACAGTTAGTTCTCCTTTGCCTGGAAATAGGCCTGTGCCACATTACCAGTTCTCTTTGCGATCTCTGTCCGGCACGTTTGTCCCTGACCACAAACCTAATGAGCGCTAGAAGAATTCAAACCCACTTTCTTGTCACCAAAGCCCTTACCTTTCTCGTATGTCACACTGTTTCTGATATTTCTAAAGCGAACCATAGACTCTGTGAGCTCTTCTGTTATCAAAAAGGTTTCTAAGCAGACTTTCAGACGTTTGTCCTCTCCTTGTCCAGGTACCTTCAGGCCGGGTGGTGACGGTAGAAAGCACTCCTGTTCGGTTACTGGGAGGACCACTGGCTGACACAGACATCGCTCTTAAAAAGCTGCCTATTCGAGGAGGAGCCTTGCAGAGAGTGAAAGTGAAGCCGCTGAATGAGCTAAAAACGAACAACCCTATCTGACCGGCTCCATGACTTTAGGAAATAAGTTCCACTTAGAACGGTTTAGCTAAATGTATATTTATATACAAATGTAAGGCAAAAAGTTAGAATTAGAAAATATTATAAAATTAAAGTCAGGATAATAGAGTTTATTTTTATTAAAAACATCAACACATGTATTAGAAAAGTGGTCACCACTGTCTTTGGAAAAGCTGTTTCTCCCTTAACTGAAATTGTAAAGTTTGTTTATCTGTTCGGACTTTTGCCTGTGTAGCAGTTACTTCAAATAGTCTACCCTGAAGGACATTTTTGTGGACTTCATGTACTCTTTCCTGAGTAATGTAGATGAGGGCACTGTTGGATCAAAGGGATGAAGCTGATTTAGCAGGGATTTCCTTCCAGCAGCACCACCTTACAGTCTTCCAGCAGAGAAGAGTGGATACATTTTTCTCAATAATTTCCGCTGCTCCCTCTGCATCCTGGAACCCTTGATTGATCGCACGCCCACTCCAGAGCACCTCACCTTGAAGTCAGACACATCTTCTTTGCTCTTGGAGCCATAAACAGCCCACAATCATCTAAAAGTCAGAAGTCAAGTGCTATCATCAGAAGGAGCAACATTGGTGAAAGTAGAAAATAAATGTATCTATTATAAAAGTCAAGTGTCACTCACAAACCAACCAGCAAAACTAAAAATACAGGTACAGTTGGTTTTACCAATAATATATAAATTTTGAAAGTGGAGTTAGAGAGATGACTTAGTGGTTAAGAGCACTGGCTGCTCTCCCAGAGGTACCCGGGTTTAATTCCCAGTGCCCACGTGGCAGCTCACAACTCCAGACCCAGAGGATCTGATTTCTCTTCTGATACCCTTGATTTACATGTAGGCGAAACTCCCATATACATAAAACAGATAAATAAAAATTTTAAGTAAGTCAAAATTTGAAGCTATTTCTAATGCTTTCTCTAATGGGGAAGTAACATTGTGGGGGAACAGATAGAAGAATGCAACATGAGATGTTCATACAAACTGTACCAAGCCATGCCTCGTTTCTACCCCAGACACATGCAGAATCCTTATGCAGTGTCCATAGCTAAGAGCGATGAACCTTTGCAGCATTTGTAGACTATGAACTTCCCCAGACTCTTAGTTGCCCAAAGGCAAGGGAGAGAGCATGTATAACTTACTATTACGATCAACACCTCAGTAAAGAAGTTAGTGATGGTGACCTTGACTCACGCAGCCTTTCCCTTGAGGTCTTCAAATGCAACAGTGCACTGACCTTCCCCAAAAGGAAAAATTGGCCCACAGGATACTTCACAAGCGATGCCACGCAAGGACAGCATCTTAAAGTAGTTTGAGTACGTACATCAAAGTAATTGTAGCATAAATACATTGGTATAAATACAAACAAGTTATAGAAAAATTGATATAATTCAGTTGAGCATCAGTTTTGCACACAGTACAAGCATTGCATCTCCAGACTGATTTAGACCGATCACCATCAGGATTACCTAATGCCTACAGACTGCTCTGCTATTCACTAGGAAGAGAGAAGGCAGACTAAGACAGGTTATTCTCTAGCAGACACTTACCACATGATGAAGTATAGGCTGACGGGAAGCAGCAGTAGCGCTTACTGCAGTGCCCATACAGATGACGGGCAGATCTCTAGCACATTTGTCTGGCACAGTTCCAGCCGTCACACAGCGAGAGTGAACCCACCCCTCCCATAACATCGCAAACGTCTCTGCTTTTCCTTCCTTGTGCTCTGTTCACACTCCTCTTGAGTCCTGGTGGGTACACTGTCTAGGCTGCCCTGCCTGAGAGATGCATAGTATTTTCTCCCATAAGCCAGCAGGGGCAAAATTTCCAGCTTTCAAACTGTAATGTGTACTAATCAAGTAAATAAAACCTATGCTTTGGAATCAGAATTAGCTGTTTTGTATCCTTAGGGCCTCTGGAAGTCCATCAATTATGCATTAAGTTAAATGAACTCTGTGTAAACCCTGACCCTTGAGACAGATTTTGAGTATGCGCTGTACAACTACAAACAATGCTGGCTTTAAAAAAAGATGGCTGGCTGTACCAACTAACTGCATAAAGCAGCAAGGAGGAATAGTCTGTCCCCATACCCCTGTTACTCAATACCAGTTTGGGAAATTATTTTAACTTACATTTTTATGTCGTTGAACTGCTTTTGACTTTATTATGTTACAGTTTTTCCACCTTTTATCTGATTGTCATGAAAACTCTGAGCATCAAAGATTGTGTCTTGGTTGTTCACCAATGTTCCCTCTACCTCAGTGAGTCTTTGCTGAATGAATGAAGGACAGACAGGAGTGAGGTTTTCTATATGATGAGAACATGATTTTTTGCAGTTTCCTGTGGGGAACACATACAGATGCAATGTGTTGTTAATGGTAGCACAGCATAAAAATTATCTCAATGATTCAGACCCATGAGAATGGCAAAGCCTTCCCTGGGTCAGGCTCAAGGAAATGTCAACGCCTCCTGACCCACATGTGAATACTGACAGTGTACACAGAAGGCACCAGTCACAGCTTCCTCCTTGATGATTGCAGCCTAGGACAGCTCCAGGACGGAGACCTCCCACAGAGACTAGCTGAACCTCTGCCTTGTGCTGTATATAAATGGGTTTCCTGAATGCATAGTAGGTGCCTGCATCAGAGGGAACAGATCTCCACAGTCAGGTTCCCAGGATCAAGCAATGCAGGATGTGTCAATTTCCTGGGAGAAATTTTAACATCTAAATCATTAAAATTGCTTACAATGAATTGGTCTAAAACAATGCTCATTTTAGCAAGTGTTCTTATTTTAATTTTTTTAAAAAATGTATTTGTGAGCCAGGTGGTGACTGTGGTGCATGCCTTTAATCCCAGCACTAGGGAGGCAGAGGCAGGCAGATCTCTGTGAGTTTGATACCAGCCTGGTCTACAAGAGCTAGTTCCAGGACAGGTTCCTTAGCTACAAAGAGAAACCCTGTCTTGAAAAACAGCAACAAAAAAATGTGTGTGTGTGTGTGTGTGTGTGTGTTTACATGTGTATCACATGCAATTAGGGGCAAGAGGACATTTTGCAGGAGTGTCTCCTTCCACCGAGAGGGTCCTATGGATGGAACTCAGGTCATCAGCCTTGGTGACAAGCATGTTTACCCACTGAGTCATCTCTCTAGCCCAATGCCATTGTTCTTAAATCATCTAGTGTACAAGAATACAACTTAGGAGAATGAGGAGACCATTTGCAAGCTACTTGGATTGGAAAGCTAACCACTAATTTTATTACATCTGAATGTTTATCATTGACGAAATACAATTTTTACAGTTACTATATAGGTGATTGATGACAACTGTTCAGACAAATTTTAGACCAAAATTACATAGCCTTGGTTTGCTTTGAACTATTGAACTGTAATCATTTGTGCATAGATTCTGTGCTGTTAAATTGTTTCCTAAGGAAAACTTCTTCAGCCTGCCTGTAGAAAATGGATTTTAGTCATCTCATTAGTGCCAGTTAATTTCCAGAGCTCAGGGCTCCTCCCTTAATAGGCAAAATATTTTCAACCTAAAAATATATTGGACCTATAGTCTCATTCTGTTTGCCACGCAGCTAATATATTAATATGTAAAACTTGGTTATATGAAATAATACTTGTGTGTTAGTTTGAATGAAAATTGGCCTAATAGGCTCATAGAGAGTTGCACTATTAGGTGTGGTCTTACTGGAGTAGGTGTGGCCTTGTTGAAGGAAATATGTCACTGGGGGCTGGGATTTGAGGTTTCAGAAGCTCAAACTCGGCTCAGTAGCTCACACCTTTCTTCCTGCTGCCTAAAGATCCAGATGTAGAATTCTCAGGCCCTCTCCAACTCCCATGTCTCCTGCACTCCACCATACTTCCTACCATGTTGATAATGGACTAAGCCTCTGAAACTGTAAGTCAGCCCCAATTAAATGTTTTCCTTTGTAAGAGTGTCTTCTAGTGACTCTTCACAGCAAGAGCAACCCTAACTAAGGCAACTTGTCAAGTAAATATTTGAAAAGCTAAGAGGTTTGTTCTGTTTTTTTTTTTTCTTCTCTGATATTTCAAGACAGGATTTCTCTGTGTAGCCTTGGACCCTGGACCTCATACAGTAGATCAGGCTGGCCTCCATCTCAGTGATGTGCCTGCCTCTGCCTCCCAAGTGTTGGCATTAGAGGTGTGTGCCACCACAGGTGGTTTGTTCATTCTTTCACACCGAAGGTTCTTAACCTGCAGTTCATGTGTGTGTGTATATAAAAGTCTTACTAAAGCCCTAGTATTACTTCATGAGAATTTCAGAGTGGTTCAAACTCAGAGAATACACCTCCATTTTTTTTTGGTGGCTAGTATTTGTTTGTTTGTTCATTTTATTTTATTTTCTGGGCTTCCAAAAGACCATTTTGGCTTGACAGCAACTAAATAAAGCAACTGCTAAGAAACGGGTAAAGCCTACTAATTTTTTTTGCTATTTTTTTCTTTTTGTATTTTTTGTAATGTTTTTACTTAAATTAGAAACATGAATGTCAGTCCCAGCTCTCTCTCCAACCCCTCCTCCCTTGTCCCTCCACCAGCCCCCCCAGCCCCCCACCCAATCCCCACGTCATGCCCCAGGGAAGGTGAGGCCCTCCTTGGGGGGGGATTTCTAAAGTCTGTCATTTCATCCAGGGCAAGACCTAGGCCCTTCCCCATGTGTACAGGCTGAGAGAGCATCCCTCCATATGGAATGGGCTCCCAAAGATCATTCATAAACCATGGTAAGCACTGATACACTACACAAGGCCCCTGTGATTTCTGTGGCCTCTTCACTGAGACTACATTCATGGAGTCTGGATCAGTCCCCTGTTGGCCTCTCAGGCATCAGTCTGAGATTCAAGAGCTCCCCCCTTATCTGGTCAGCTGTCTTTGTGGGTTTTACCATCATGGTCTTGACCCCTTTGCTCATTACTCCTCCATCTCTGTCACTAGGTTCCAGGAGTTCAGTTCAGTGTTTAGCTGTGAGTATCTGTCTCTGCTTCCATCAGTCACTGGGTGAAGGTTCTAGGATGTCATATAAGGTAGTCATCAACATTACCATCAAGGAGGGGCTATTAATGTAGTCTCTCCACTATTGCTTAGTTTGCCAGTTGGTGTTATCCTTGTAGGTCTCTGAAGATCTCACTAGTGTCAGCTCTCTCCTCAAGCCTATAATGACTCCATCTATTATGGTATCTCTCATCCTGCTCTCCTTTATTCTTACCTCGACTCAATCTTCCTGCTCCCCCATGCCTTCTTCTCCCCTCCTCTTATCCCCCACTCTTTTTCCTGTCTCTCTCTCCCCTCCCCCAATGTTCCCAATCTGCTCAGGAGATCTTGCCTCATTCCACTTCTCTGGGGTATCATGCATCTCTCTTGGGAACCTCCCTGTTTCCCAGACTCATTGGCACTGGGATTGTAGGCTGAGACTCCCCTGATCCATATCTAAAATCCATATATGAGTGAGTACATACCGTGTTTGTCTTTTTGTGTCTGGGTTACCTCACTCAGGATAGTTCCCTCTAGTGCCATCCATTTGCCTGCAAATTTCAAGATTCCATTGTTTTTCTCCGCTGAGTAGTACTCCATTGTGTAAATGTACCACATTTTCTCTATCCACTCTTCAGTTGTGGGGCATCTAAGTTGCTTCCAGGATCTAACTATTACATACAATGCTGCTATGAACATAGTGGAACAAACAGTCTTGTTGTGAATACACCTCCTTTTAACTCAAGGTTTATTCTTGAATCAAGTCAAGCCATCAGACAATTAAATATTTATCCAGTATTTGTGCTGTTTTTAAAGTTTGCTTATATTTAATTTGATTGTGCCTATGTCATTTGGCACAGAGAAGAATGTGGTATCATCATCTAAACACTTGAAAACTGCAGGGAAATCTATAGGGCAGATTTCTATTGGTTCTTTGTACTGAAAAAGTGTGGAATTTTCCTAAACATTTGGTTTGGTTTTTCTTGCAAACACACAAATCTTCAAACTGCTTCTGAGTCCCACTTCACTTTGAAATCTCACAAATTTTACAGAATTTTTTGTCAAAAATACAGGCTGGGGGTGGGCAGAGGTCAACATTGGGTATCTTCCGCTATTATTCTGAGTTTTATTTTCTGAGATCAGGCTTCTCACTGAGCCTCAAGCCCACCAATTCTATTAGACTGTCTGTCCAGGAATCTGGGATCTTCGTGTCTCCCCTTTAGAAGTGCTGAGCTGACAGTCACATGCTTCTCTGCTTGGGGAGCTGATCTTAGGTCCTCATGTTTGTACCAGAAGCACCTTACCAACTTGAGTCATCTCTCAAACTCCAAAAGTATTGACTTGATACATACAATCAAAATCATTAATATAAACCATAATTGTGTATTAGTAGTTCCCTGCCATCATTTCCCACTACTCCAATTTAATCATCTACTGTGTTACATTTCTTTAAAACTTCATGTTTATGGAATATGGTGTGACCTGTAATTAACATAAAAATGATTAAGTGTAAAATGTGACTGACATGATACCTAGGCAAAAACTCCATCTTGCTGTGCTTTGCTAAACTGTATTTTCTTTGTGTTGGTTTCTTGTTCCTTTTCAATGTTGGGACAATATGGCTTATACCATAGGATCTGGCGAGATGACTCAGAGGTTGAGAGCACTGGCCACTCTCCCAGAGGATTTGTGTTCAATTTCTGGCACCCACATGGTAACTCAAAGCAGTCTGTAACCCTTGTGCCCGGGGATCCAATGTGCCCTTCTAGCCTCTGCAGGCACTGTATGCCCTTAGTGTACACACACACACACACACACACACACACACACACACACACTTATGCACATACACATGTGCACACACATGCACACACATGAATACACACATACACA